ACCACCCATTTCACAGATGAGAAAACAGGCCCTGAGAGTTGCCATGCCTCACCCAGAAACCAGGACCTGATCCCACACATACACACTCACCCAGCTGCTGTTTCCAGCCTACTTGGAGCCCACAGATTCCTGACCATCCACAGCTCTGAGGTGGGTAGCAGTGATTACCCTGGACATTTATCCACCAGCCTAAAGAACAAAAAATCTCAACAGACCCTCTCCATGGTTACTGCTGGGCGGTGGGCACCGAGGGCAGGAAAGAAGTGAGAGTAACACGGGAGCCATGGGTGTCCTCATCAGCCACTCTGGGAACAGAAGCAAGCGTGGCGAAAACACTTCTCTATCTTTGTACTTAGAGAGTATCTTCACATCTACTAACTCGTTCCACCTCCACAGCAGTTCTCTGAGTTACACAGGGCAGGGATTCTTATATTCATTTTCCCTGTTTTATAGATTTTAAAAACGAAGTACAGGGCTTCCCTGGTGGTGCAGTGGTTGAGAGTCCGCCTGCCGAGGCAGGGGACACGGGTTCGTGCCCCGGTCCGGGAAGATCCCACATGCCGTGGAGCGGCTGGGCCCGTGAGCCATGGCCGCTGAGCCTGCGCGCCGGAAGCCTATGCTCCGCAACAGGAGAGGCCACAGCAGTGAGAAGACCGCAAAAAAAAAAAAAAAAATGAAGTACGACTTGCCCATTGCTAGAGAGGAACAGAGACTAGAGGCAGACCTAGGGTTTCTGGTGCCTAATCCTGGCCACATCCTGTTGTGCACCTGTGTAAGCAATCTCCTGTGATATATGTCCACAAAAACCCCCCTTATCTGCCCACATCCAGGATGAGTCACCCTGTCCCTAGAAATGTTGTTTGGGACCCTCCAATGCATGGCTATACAAGAATTCCTTTCTCTGTGTCCTCATTTTTGTTTCAGCTCTGTAGATACATCCTTTGTGAGGAGACTCTTGGGATGGGTGGATTTGTACTGTATCTAAGTGTCTGGTGTGGCCTCTGCAACATGATGGGTGCTCAATAAAAATGTGTTTCCTGGTTGGCTGAGAGGCTGGATAGATGAATGGATGAATGGATGGATGGATGGATGGATGGATGGATGGGTGGATGGGTGGGTGGAGTATTGGTTTAATTTATTTATTTATTTTGTTTGTTTTTTAAATTTTCTTACACAGCATCCATTCCCCCTTCCAAATATTGCCTTGACATCCTTTTGTGGAATTACTTCTCCCCCAGGGTATATAGTCTCGGTGGTACTGCAAATCAGGTGCTCTATCCTCTCCCAGCCAAGAAGCAAGCAAATGACACCAGCTTGGCTGGTTATCCTCCCTCCCTAGGACTCTGAATCCTTAATAGATTGAGAGATGGATAGGAAAAATGGCTGGAGTACATTTATTTCAATAGTGGTGGCCTGATGAGACTGTCAAGCAGTAGCTGCTGCCCAAACACCCAGACCTGTCCTTTTTCCAAGTCGGGTTCTCCAATGCTCTATCCATTCTAATAGCTACTCAGCATTACCCCCAGTACATTACCCTCCTGCTTAAGTTAGCCAGAGTTGTTTTCTGCACTTATAAGCAAAGAATCTTAAATGACACAGATGTAGAGATGAAGGTACGGGTGGATGGGTGGAGGAATGGAAGGAATGAAGGAGCGAGTGAAGTGAAAGGGCCGAGCAGTGAGCATGTGGACGAATGCAGTACTGCCCATGGAAGGACTTCATGAGCTAAGTGGTAAGGTGAGTCCCAAGCCTTGGAAAGACGGGAGGTAAGAAGGGGTAATAATGATAACCCCTCAGCCTTACCTGCAGGAGGAGTGATATGAACCAATTTTAGGGGCAATAAGACACCTATCCCCAGCTCTCCTCCAGGACACTACAGATCCTCTAGTTTTGTATCTTTTAACGGAGAATGGCCTCAGAAATAATACTGTCAAACCTCCATTTCCTAGATGAGGAAACTGAGGGCCACAAAAGGCAAGAGGTTTGCCAAAATCTCACAACTAGGTTTGGCGCTGAACTGGGACTAGAGCTCAGGTCTCCTAATTCCCTGTCCCTTGCTCTTTTCACTGCCCAAAGCTTCCTCTGTTAGGAATGACTAAGGTGCAGAATTTCCAAATCCCATTTTGAGGCAATTCCCCAAGGGGACTTCCTCTCCTAGGCTGAAGGTCCTAAAAAACGCAAATGGCTCAGGAGGTGCTAAGGTCCATCCTGTTGTGGCCTGAATGATCTGCGGTGGGGGGATGCACAGGGGAGGCAAGGCGAGAGACTGCAGACCCCCAGCCCCGGGAATGGACGCAACAGCCAAGAATCCAGGGGGCTTCTCGGGACCAGCTCAAAAAAGGGGCAGAATCCAGATCACAGCCACAAGAATCCTGTAAGATTCTGAAACTTGTGTCACTTCCTTTGTAAGCCTGTCTGTGAAACTCTTTGAAAAAGGGTCTGTGTGCTGACCTGCAGGGACAGCCAGGAAGGGGGAAGAGGGGACCATGTCTCACCCCATGACCAGGCTCAGAGAGAGAGAAATCCAGAGAAGGGCAGAGCACAGGGCCTGAGTCTCTGAAGCCTGCCGCACAGAGGGCAGGAGAGCTCAAGGCAGGCCTGAGTCATCATTGTTTTCTATGTGTTTTCTTCCTAATCAGTGAAATAATGCCTAAAATATCTAGCACAGCGCCTAATAGCTAGTGGAAAATCACCGTCAACACCCCTTGCCTGCCCTCATGCCTCCTGACACTGAGCTGAGATGAACACCTCTCCTGGGCGGAGGGGGGAACATTGAGGGAAGAAATGCTAGAGCCTGGACATTTGGGGAGAGAAAGAGAAGGCATCAACTTCTGAGTATGTACTTGTGCCAGGAATGGTGCCGAGCAGTCCAATGGTTGCCTCATTTCATACTCTGCGGTGTCCCAGGAGCTAGGATTCTCTGCGCTATTTCTAGAAAGGAAGCCAAAGTGTAGACTAGCTAATAACATGACCAAAGACACACAGAGAGTAAGTGATGTGTCTGATTTCGGCCCCAAGTTTGTCCCCCTTAACCGGCCTTTCTCCTGGGGGCTGGGGACAGCAGAAGGGAGGGGCTGCCGTCCTCTGAATGTATGCACAGAGAAAGGGGAAGCCACCGACAAACACGCAGAGGAAAACAAAAACAAAAAACAGACTCCAAAGTGTGAGGAAGAGGCCCTGAAATCGTCTGCCCCCCTTACCCACCACGCCCCGCCCCCAGCAGTTTTGGAAGAATTGATGCTTCTGCCTGGGCCTCGCTCCCACAGCTGCCCCCCCAACCCCCGCCAGGGTGTGTTGCAGTGGGCTCCTCCAGTCCCCCGAAGCAAGTGAGCACATCAGCAAACACACCGCCTGTGGTCTCCAGCTGCAGAAAACAAGTGGGGCGTACACAGCCCCTGAACTGTGTGGTGAAGGTGCGAAAGGCCGGGGGGGCCAAGCTGCAGCCTTCCAGCCTGACTGTGTTTGAACAGGAGAACGGTCGTCACAGTTGGTACCCTGACACAGTGAAATGTAGCAGGGGATGGGGAAGGGAAGGGAGGCACAGAATAGAATGACATAGGATGAACAAACCAGAGCTGGACCAAAAGGCAAGGGCAGGCTGTAGCAGGAAAAGTCTTGAAGAGGGGTTCAAATCCTGTTCCCACCTGGGCAGATCCCCTGAGCCTGCTGGGAGGCCTCCCCTTGCACCTTCAGCCTGCCGCCCCCTACAGACCTCCGCCAGCACTAACGGAGCACCTACCCCAAGCAGGGCCCTGTAGGCACAAGGAAGCAGGAGACGGCCGCTCACTGGCTCAGGTGGGACACGTGTTAACAAGAGCAGAGGAGGGACACAACCAGAGAGCAAATCTCCAATTTGTGAATGGAGAAAATTAAGGCTCATCAGGAGGAAATGACTTTGCCTCAGGCTTCTCCTGGGGCCCAGACTGGGATTCCTAGAGGATGGAGGGAATTTCCCTGCTTTGGACATTTTTTTTTTTAAAGCAGCCAAAAAAGCCAGAGCTGCTCCCCACACAGTCGTGGGGGGAACTCCAGGTCAGGGCAAAGCTTCAGAATCCAGATACGATGAGGTTTCGCTTTCTTTGTCTGCTTTTGGTTTTCCTAACATCACAGTGGGAAGCTGAGCAGGCAGCCAGCTTCGCTTACGAAATGAAATGAAAGAGGAAAAAGGAAGACTGGGCCAGGAGGGCAGGGGAGGAGCTGCAGTAGGCTGGGGCGGAGTGTGCGTCTGGCTTCAGTGCGGGATGTGCTAGGAAAAGGGGTGCAGGACGGAGGAAGGGTGATGAGAACCAGCCCTCTGAACTCCAGAGGCCCATCAGTGAGCCTGCTGGGTCTATGAACCTCTTCTATGCAAAAATTACATGTGTGAGGGTTTGGGTAGGTCTCCACATGTTTGTGGAAAGTGTTCACAGCTTTCATCAGATGCTTAAAGGGCTCCATTCCCCAAAACAGGTTAGAATCAATCTCTCACTCGACAGATGAAGAAACTTAGTCCCAGAGAAAGTAAGCAACTTGCTCCAAGCCAGAATTAATAATACAGCTGGATTTTGAACCCAGTCAGACGCTAGAGAGCCCATGAACTTAATCAAGATGCTGTAAGAAGTTATCAAGACTAAAGCAGCATTAATTTAGCATCTATCATGTCCAAGACATCTGTTGGAATGCAGGGGGAGAATACAAAAAACAAATAGAAAAAAAAGCATAGGACATTGTTACTGTGTTCAGGGAGTTAAGACGAGACCAGTGAAAAGTTGACTCACAGTAAAGGAGTATGTTTTCCCTTGTTCTGGGTGAGCTCTCCCCTCCCCCGCCCCACACAAACAGACACTCCAGAGGGCAGGTCTTTGGCTCACATGGTGTCCTCAGCACCCAGAGGGCTGCCTGGGTCACAGCAATTCTCAGTGACAATTTGCGGAGGCAGCAAGGAGTGATGGAGCGGTGTAGGCCAACCACACTGGCGGGATAGGGAGGACAGAGACAGCTTCGTGACGTTTGCACCTCACCTGACGGTCTCCTAAGCACGTCCACTGTCATCACTTCCCTTGATCCTCTCGACCGCCAGTGTGGTGAGTCAGACAGGCAGGCGTTCCTGGTTTTCGGGAACACAGAATGCCAGGTAAATCATAATGACAGTTGCCATTCATTGGACACCCACCCTGTACCAGGTACTGTACTGTTTACACAGGTGCTCTGATTTCCTCATGGAATCAGTACTTTGGAGCCAGAGGATATACTGATTCCGTGAGTCTGAACTCTGATTTTGCACAGGAGAAAGTGAGTGGCAGAAATGGAATTACAGTCAGGTTCTTCTCTCTCCTCTGCACACCCATAATCCCCTGGAACCACCAAAAGGGAAGAAAAATACTCCTGATGTACCCACTGCCTATTCCTGCTTAGCAACCCTGCCATCCTACCCACTCCCTATTCCCACTACCATTTATACACAGACATGCACACACACTTACACACAGCAGAATCGTTCACTGGGATTTAAAGATGGGGATGAGGTTGGTCGCCTGTGGTTCCCTCAGCTCTGTCCTCAGCTCGTGTCCCAACTCAGCGTATTTGGTATCCAGAAAAGTACTTTCCTTTCTTCCTTAAAGAAGGAAACTGAGATCAAGGAAAGGCAACAGAAATAGAGCTCACAGGGAAAAACAGCCTTAGCAAACGTTTCGGGATTTCTCTAGATACAATGCAGTGTGGTAGGAAGCTAGGAACCAAGACAGACTTGGGTTCCATGTTGAATTCTTATCACTTTAGGAAATGTGACCTTAAGCAAGTCATTTAACCTCTCTAAGCCTCAACTGACCCACCTGCTTAAAAACAGTCTTCGTAATAGGGTTCACGAATCCACATCAACTGGGATCCGGGGTGGGTGGGTGGGGCTGTCTAGATTGCCGAAAAACCTACAGTATAGAATATCCTTAAAGGGACTGCCATTTTCTTACTCAATAATAACACGATAATAATAGCTAACGTTATTAAGTACTTAACAGTGTCAGGCATTGTACTTAAGAGCTTTCCAAGCGTGAGCACATTTATGGCAACTTAATTGTCTCAACAGCTGTGGGAGGGGCCACTGTTATTATCGCTGATTTATAGATGAGGAAACTGAGACCACAGAGATGAAGTAACTTGTAGGAGGCCACCTGGCTTGTAAATGAAACACCAAAGCCCCTGCTCTTAACCACTAGGCAGCACAGCCTCCCACATGTTTGCTGACTAAGAGGATTACATGAAGGGAACAATTCAAACAGGCAGATCATTTTTGTGTAGATGGCTGGATGTTTCTTAAGTGCTTACAATTTATTTCTTTAAATGAGATGGGCCATGGTTTCCAAAACTGTGCTTCTATTGGTAATTGTTTAACGAGTCAGGAGGGAATGAGAGGATTCTTATGACAAGTTGAGAACAGCACCTGGCACCTAGAGAGGATGAAGAGCAGCTTAACTGCCTGAATGATGTGGGTCAGTGGAAAGAGCTTGAGCCTGGTCATCAGAAGCACTTGGGTTCATAAACTGGTACAGTCAGTAGGGAGAACAGTGTGGAAGTTCCTTAAAAACCTGAAAATAGTTACCATACGATCCAGCAATCTCACTCCTGGGCACGTATCCAGAAAAGACAAAAACTCTAATTTGAAAAGATACACGCACCCTGTTGTTCATAACAGCACTATTTACAATAGCCAAGACATGGAAGTAACCTAAGTGTCCATCGACAGATGAATGGATAAAGATGTGGTATATATGCAATGGAATATTACTCAGACATAAAAAAGAATGAAATATTGTCATTTTGCAGCAATATGGATGGACCTAAAGATTATCATACTAAGTGAAGTAAGTCAGACATCACAGATTATCATACTAAGAGAAAGATAAATACTATATGGTATCAGTTATATGTGGAATCTAAAAAATGATACAAATGAACTTTATTGACAAAACAGAAACAGACTGACAGACATAGGAAACAAATTTATGGTTACCAAAGGGAAAGGGCAGAGGGAGGGATAAATTAGGAGTTTGGGATTAACAGATACGCACTACTACATATGAAACAGATAAACAACAAGGAACTACTGTATAGCACAGGGAACTATATTCAGTAGCTTGTAATAACCTACAATGGAAAAGAATCTGAAAAAGAATATGTATATATATAGATATATATGTATCTATACATATATATATATCTGAATCACTTTGCTGTATACCTAAAACTAACACAATTTGTAAGTCAACTATGGTTCAATTTCTTTTTTTAAGTCAATCTGAAAAAAAAAATACTTGGGTTCAAATCCCACTTATTGCTGTGTGACCTCGAGGACCTTAATGACCTCTTCTGAGGCACAGTTTCCACTTCTATAAAGGGAGAATAATAACCATCCTGCGTCAAAGTCTTCGGGTGGAAGAAATGAGACAAGTTCTCCCCATTCTGGGTGATTCAGTCACCCTCAGCCACCAAGTTACATATGTGACGATAGCTAGCAAAAAACATCCTTGGTGTAAGATTACGTTTTTCTTTTAATTACGCTTTTTAAGATGCGTTTGCCTTTGTTACTGTCAATAGACACTTTTAGATAATTCAGAAGTCAACTTCAGCCCAACCCAGGCCAAACTGTCACTAATTCTGAATTATCCAAATAGGAATTGATGAAGATTGACTGTATCCAATTCTTTGGAATGGAGGAAGGACCTCGGCTCTAATCCAGACCACCACTTCATTCAGTTTCAAGGATGTCCCAACCATGAACCTTTTCATGGTGAGCAGTACTTAGCGGACCGAGCACTGCAGCAAGAGCCAGGGCACCTGGGCTCTGATCTCGTCGTACTGCCCTTCCTCCTGTCCCCAGGGAAGCAGCTTCCTGACCTCTGGGAGGACCCCTGCCCTGGCACACGAAGCTGAGGATGCCAGCAGAGGAAGAGATTTTTCCACCACCGCTGCTTGTGCTGGTTCTTCTCAAGGGCAAAGAGGGAAGTGATGAGCTCACTCTGGACTAGAGGGCAGTGAAGAGAGGAGCGAGGGAGAGAGAGAGACTCAAATTTCCGGAGGCTATTTCAGTTTTCTTTTCTGTTTTGTGCAATTTCACTTATGATATCAGCCAGTGTGTGGCTGCTCTTTTGGAAACTCCCCTAGTGAGGGCGCCCCCTCTACTGGCCGGGCTCCCTATAAAGGGCCAGCCTGAGCTGCAGAGAATCCCTGCAGAGGATCCTGAGACAGCAGGTGGATCTCCCACAGCCTCTGCTCACAGCTACCATGAAGGTCTGCGCCGCCGCCCTCGCTGTCATCCTCGCCATGGCTGCCCTCTGCGCTCCTGCATCTGCCTCCCCATGTAAGTCCAGGTCCTGACCACCACACCCCCCGGGGTCCAACCCTTAGACTGGCCCAGATCTCGCCCTCTTTTCAACTGTAGCATTTATACCATCTGAACCCTATGACTTACATTCCCCTGTACTGCTTTACCCAGATGTCCAGTTGTCCCTGATAGATCTCAAAGCCACTTCATGGCAGGGACCCTCTGAACAACTTGTATGTGTCATCAAGGTCTACACCCCAAGCCCTACAGGTGCTCGCTGAGTGTGGACTGATGCTGGGGATACTAGCAGGCAGGGGCAGCTCGAGCTGACCTCCAAACATGACTAACTCATGTCTAGCAGCAGCAGGGCTCCTAAGAAGCTTCTAAGCACTTAAGTAAAACTCTCCTGGGACAGTCATATTCCCTCCATTTCACAGATGGAAAAAAGTGGGACTTGATAAAGGATAACAAAATCTAATTAAATGCCCACTCTGGGTCAAGCATTGTGCTGATTGCTTTGCAAATATCATCTTATTTAATGCTCACATCTACTCTTTGAGTAGCTGTCCTCGACTTATAGAACCCCGGAGAGGTTAAGTAACTTGTCCAAGTTCACGCAACTAGGAAGTAAGGAAAGCAGTGTTCAAACCCAGCTCTGTTTGGCTCTGAAACACTACTACTCTGCTGGAAAATGGCAACTGACACTTCCCGGGGCCATCCTGAACTAACTGACCAACAAAAAGTCCTCCTTCTCTGTTCAGAGCCCTTCTCAGTATGCCTCAGCCAGAGGGTCCCAGGATAAAATATGCATCTTCAGGCCTCTCTTAGGGGTCCTGGCTCAGTCATGAAGTCTGAGTTTTGGAAGCCTCCCCGCAACCCACACTAGGTCTCAAAGAAACCAAGTTCTGAACCCATTGAGGATCCTAGGAGAGCAAGAATAAGGGCAGAAGACCTAAGACAAGCCCGGAGGAAATGCAGGATGCCATCAGAGCCAAAGGCATGAATGGGGTCGTGGTACAGAGGGAAGGCTCAAGGATTAGGTGAGGGAATCCCCACTCTGGCACTGTGTGTCCATGGCCAAGTGACTTTACCTCTCTGAGCCTCAGTTTCAGCCAAAGGAGGATAATAGTCTGTTCAAGATAAATCATATAGGGACTTCCCTGATGGTCTGGTGGCTAAGACTCCACGCTCCCAATGCCGGGGGCCCGGGTTTGATCCCTGGTCGCAACTAAGATTTCGCATGAGGCAACGAAGATCCCACGTGCTGCAACTAAGACCCGGCGCAGCCAAATAAATAAATAAATATTTTAAAAACAAAAAACTTTTAAAAAGATAATTCATATAAAGCACCCAGCACAATACCCAGTGTGCATTGGCAATGAATCCAGGAGTCTTCTTTCTTCCCTCTCCCAGATGCCTCGGACACCACACCCTGCTGCTTTGCCTACCTCTCCCGCCCGCTGCCCCGCGCCCACCTCCGGGAATATTTCTACACCAGCAGCAAGTGCTCCATGGCAGCAGTCGTGTGAGTCTCAGCCCTGTGGAACCCTCCAGGGGGTGAGGGAGGGACACCTTTTGCCCCAGAGCCAGTCCCCCCGCCATGAGCCCTCAGAGATGGTGCCCCATCCACTCCCACCCATCCTCCGGCTGCTCAAATAACCATGGTTCCGCCCTCTCTAGCTTCAGATCCCCCCGCTATTGTGGAAAAAGGCTAGACAAGGTGTTCCTGAAGGATCCTCCCCACTCTGATGGGCTAGGTTAGGTCTCTGATCTTTACGGATGTGACTGTTTCTTGAACCTGGTCTGCCATACCCCTGGGTGGAGAAGATCGACTCAGTCATCTCTTTCCAGTTAAGAACCCCGCAGTCCCTCATATCCGACACCCAATCAAATCCACCTGCAACTTCAAAAGGAGCTAAAGAGGAGAGGTCAGAGGTCAAGGCCCTAGTTGCAGTCAAGCGTGTTAAAAAAAAATAAGTTATTGATTGATGAAGAAATAATGAAATGAGATTCTCCTTTAAATACGTAAGCTACCATATTTAGAAAAATAATAATCCTTGCTACCTAGGAAGTGCCTACTGTGTCAAATGTCTTACATGCATTATCTCTACATTTTATCATAACATCCCGGACAGGTATGCATAATTTTCTCCACGTTTCAGATAATGAAAGTGAGACCCAGAGAGGTTTGGTAACTTGCCCAAGGTTGTACAGTAAGTGAGGGAGGGATGGAGCCTGTTTCTGGAGCCTCCTCTTTCTACTCTAGCAAGGTCATTAGTGATAGTGGCTTAAGAAGTTTAAGATGACAGAGACTTAAAGAATGAAAATGGGGCAGTCATGAAATTTTCCATATAACGATGAAGTTTTTTAATCCAAAAATTTCTGTGACACTGGCAAAGTTACAGGTATTCAGATTTGGCCTTTGGTCCTGATGAATCTTTCGAAGTATAGCAATAATATTTAGCACTACTGGGACTTCCCTAGCGGTCCAGTGGTTAAGACTCTGAGTGCGGGTTCCATCCCTGGTCGGGGAACTAAGATCCTACATGTCATGTGGCACAGCCAAAAGAAATGTAGCACTAATAATTTTATCTCTGAAAACAAGTATTTTTCAAAAGGAAAAAAAATCCTTCTTTGAGCACCCATTATGGGCAGGCAGAGTGGAGTAAACCACCATCCCGGCCCTTCTGGGGCTCACAGTCTAAGCCAGATGTAGCAATGACCAGGGCACCCTGCATAAGAATGTTACAAAAGGAAAGAGGGAACACACCGCGATTCAGGGCTTAGCTAAGAGAAGGGATTTAGGCGAAGTTTGCTGCAAAAAGTGCTGTTTGACTTGGGATTGTACTGAGGGACAGGGTGTATGAGGCAGAGGGGATGTCGCCAAGACTCTCCTCTGGTTTTTGTAGAGTCTCCGTATAGGAAAGCACTGAGGGCCTTGAGTGTCAGCACAATGAAGCAAAAGTGTGAAATGAGCTGGAACGGGGAAAGTCTAGACAAGAGAGGTCCAGTGGAGAGGCTGCTGTTGTCCACATGAGTGGTACTGAGGCTGAACAGGACCTGAAGCGAAGGAGAGACGGGGTGAGGAAGCTTCTGAGGTGGAATCAGCAAGCCCTGGCAGGGGCTGTGAGGTCGGTAGCAAGGAAGAGAGAGGGGTTGAGTGTGATGCTGAGGTTTCAACCCAGACCTGGAGAAGGGTGAAGGTGGAGCCCCCTGAAGTCCTGAGGAAGAGCTGTTTAAAAAGGAAAGGACCAAGGTGCCAGCACAACAACTCTATGGAAAGTCCAGCAGGGAATGTACGATGAAGAGTTTGTAGCCGAGGAAAGGGTGCTGGGGCCGGAGATGTGACATTTTTTAATAGGAGGAAGGGGTCTCCCGATGTCACAGTGGCAGGAATACAGCAGTCTTGGCTGTTCCGGCTAGTCTGTCTTGATTAAAATCCCAGCTCTGCCAGTTAGTAGCTGCATGAGCTTGGGCCCGTCACTTAACCTCTCTGAGCCTCAATTTCTTCATCGGCAAAGTGCAGTAAAATAGAGGTATTTCCCTCACTGGGTCAAAGTGAGGATAATAAAAAGAAAGATAAAATTAGAATATTTCCTGGCACACAGTTAGGTGCCTGATAAGTTGTTAACTTACATCATCATCCTTCTCCCCCTCTAAATGTATTATTATATACAGAGAAGTGACAAGTGAAACTTGAGGAGTGAATGCAAAACATTCAGTCACTAACTCATTCAATAAATATCCATTAAGCACCTACGGTGTGCCAGACCCAGGGCCAGAGACTTGAGGAAGCGCACAGGAGAGAAGGGCAGCCACGTTGAGCACACCTGCTCTCAAGGGGCAGGTGAAGGTGGAGGGAAGTCAGGCCAGCAGAGGCTCCCCACAGAGTGGGCAGGGAGAGAAGGCTTGGCAACAGGGGCTGCTAGCCAGTATCACATTCAGCAGGGAGCAGCAGCAGGAAGCCTGGGCAACCCTCCCCCCAGATGTCGGTTTCCTGGCCTTTCGACTTCCTGGCCTCAGGCCAAGGGGGCTGAGGAAGGAGGACAGTGAGTCTGCAGGATCTCCTGTATGACACCTGGCTTGCCGAGGGCAGGGTCTGCATCGGAAGCTCCCTCACCACCCCAAACAAGAAGACAAATACTAGGAGGCACCAGAGCCCAGTACACCCCTTCTGCTCCCTTTCTCTTCTCTGCACGCCAGGCAGGGGAGAAAGAGAGGTGGTCAGGTAGCTCGGAGTGAGGCTCAGAGAAGGGGAAGCAGCTTCCCTGAGAAAAAACGCTCTCCATGATAGAGCACGAAAAGGGGCCAAGAAATCCTCATTCTCATCAGATAACCTAAGCCTTCACTTTGTCTGGAAACATCTCAAAAAGGTGCAGGAAAGCATCCTGAAGGAGAAGCCAAAATGAGAACGGTCCACATAGGCAGGGCTAGCTCCACAGTAACACGTTAATGGGTAGCACTGCTGGCCAGGCCCAGGGTGTCCCTCAGAGAGAACCAGTCTCCCAGCAAACAGTTAAGGCAGGCAGCTGGACGTAGCCCATGATCCCCGGCCTGTGAGCCTTCCAACTTACACCATCAACACCTGTAGAGATAAGGCCTCCCACCCTCACCGGCCTCCACATTCTGGCCGGTTAATTGGTAGAAGTGCTTTGACATCTGCCAGTATCGCAGGGTCCTCAACCTCTCCGAGCCATGGTGTCCAGTACCGGGACCTTTGGGCTCATGTTGCTCTGATCCACCCTAAGGCAGAGGTCCCGCAGCACCCCAATAACAACACATGCATGGTATTTTTCAAAACTAATTTATATATACTATCTCATCTGAGTTTCACAACAATTGTGCTAACTAGGAATTATTTCTGTCCACATTTTAGAGGTAAACGTATAGACTCAGAGGCCCTAAGTGATTTGCCCAAGGTGATCTAACTAGTAAGTGGTGAAATCAAGACTCAAGTTCATGTCCTTCTTCTGTTCACCCAGGCACACACAGATGGGTTCCTCTGTCGAGTGTCTATGTGTGCCAAGCACTGTGTTATCTAAGGCCAGATCACACATTTGTTTCACCACCTCATCTCCCACTTACTCAGCCATGACTCAGTTCCTGGAAGACACCTCTTTTTCTCTGCATCTTCAGCACCCAGCACAGGGTCTGAAACAGGAAGTGCTGAGAAGTGGTTGACCAGCTCAAGCCTGGGCTCCTAGGGCCCCGTATCCCCTTAGATCTCCAGGCTGCATGTGTTTTTGCGGCTTGGGGGGCGGGGGGTTAAAATGCACACAGGACTGCTTCTGGCTTGGAGCCCTTTGACCCAACAGAAGAGAAAATGTTCTTTCCTTGAACGCCACCAACACAATCGTATGGAGCTCCAAAACTAACCCACCCAGTATCATTTCCCCCCTGCCTCAATCCACCTCATCTCCAAAACTGGCGCTCCCAGCACTGACCAGGTCTCACCCTCTTCTCTCCCACAGCTTTATCACCAGAAAGAATCGCCAGGTGTGCGCCAACCCAGAGAAGAAATGGGTGAAGGAGTACATCAACGCTTTAGAGTTGAGCTAGGATAAAGGACGCCTTGAACCTGAACTTGTGCAAACCTTGCTTCTTGCTCTTGTCCCAAACAGCTTGGGAGGTTCCCCCGTGCCCTCCTCCCACCCGCTCCTTGGAGGGCACAGGTCCCACCACCCGCAGCAGCTGCTGTAAAAGCCCCCCAGGGCTCCTGGGGCTCTGCCTTGTGCACAGGAGGCCTCTAGGCGCCGAGCTTCAGAGCCCTCGCCCGGCCACCGCTCTGCAGTCAGGAAGGACGTCAGCACCTCTGGAGGAGAAGGAGGGAGGGAGACTGGGCTCCTACGGTCATGCCCCATGACCAAAGCGCCCACCTCAGCCCCTCACTGGGAAGGGCTGACTGGCAAATGTAAGAAATCAGAGTTTCATTAAAATTCTCAAAGCAATTACAAAGCAGCCTCCTGGTTTGACTTCCCGTCGGGAACCCCCCTTCCTCGTGAGCATTAAGCATTGGATCCAGGGCTGGTCACATCTGGTGTCCATCCTGGATTTGGGGGTTGTGGCCCTATGCAGTGAGCAGGCCCCGGGGGCACAGGCTCTCTGAAAAGGGGCCTGGGCAGGACAGAGCAGGTAAAGGGACCAGTGGCTCATCCACTCTGAAGGGAGACAACAGTCACTACCTCCCAGCCCCGAGGCCCCGAGAGTTTCTCTCACTTCCCACCACATACCTCCCTGCTTCCTCAGACCATGGTCGGCCCTTCCGCCTACTCTGCTGGCTTCCACCCTAGCCCACCCTACCCCTTACCGGCAGTGGGTTTCTTTGACATACCACTCGTGCCCCTGGAACGGGATTTCATGGCACTCCCAAAACACCTCGGTTCTTTCAAATAAAGAGAAGGAGGGATTTTGTTGTTTTCTACCACGGCACCAGCACTTTCAGGTGGGAGTATTCCAACTTTCCCATCGATGTGTTCCTTCCCGTGAACCTGTCTTGGCAAATATATCCACATAATCAGAGCCAGCGTTGACCGCGCTATCACTCTGTGCCAGGCATTGCCAGCTCCCTACATCCACCACCCTTCATCTTCATGACCCTCTGGGGCGGGGAGTATTATTAACCCTGTTTACAGTGGGGGAAAGCCCTTGGCAAGAGATGGAAATAACTTGCCCAAAGCCCCAAAGCAAAACAAAAACAAAAAACAAACAAACCAAAAAAACAGGGGAGGTGGGGTGGAAGGTGGTACAATTAACATTTAGACGCACCAGGTCCAAAGTCCAATGCCAAAGCTGCTGCTTTTTTTTTTCCATCTTTAATCTGCAAAATTTCAAACCTAGTGAAATTTGCAAGAATACACCCATATACCCTTCATCTAGATTCAAATATTAACATTTAACCACATTTGCTTTATCTACGTGCATATATGTGTGTGTATATACAAACACACGTATATTATACAGATGGCTGGTATGTACATTCTTTTCTGAAATGAAAGTTGCAGATGTGATATCACTTCCCCCCAACAGTTTTAGTGTGTATCTCCTAATAACAAGGACATTCTGCGTAGCCACAGAATGAGTAGCATTTAACACTGACACGATATTATTTTCTAACATAGAGTCCATGATCAAATCCCCACAATTGTCCCAATTATGTCCTCTAGAGCTATTTTTTAAAATCCAGGCTCCAATTACAGGCACATATTGAATTTAGCTGTCAGGTCTTTTTAGTGTCCTTTAACAGACTTTCTTTGTCCTTAAGATATATTGATATTTTCTTCAGGAGTTCAGATGGGATTTCTGTAGAATATTTCCTAAGGTGGGTTTGCCTATTGTTTCCTCATACTTAGATTCAGGATGAACATTCTCGGCAGGAAAACCACATGGTGACGCTGTCTTTCTCAGTGCAGCACGTCAGTTTATTGCAAGCGATGGTCCAGTCGGAGGACTTGGTGGCCTGTGTTTTCTCACTACAGCAAGCTGCCTGCTGTGCGCCAGGCACTATGCTAGATGTCGAGGTTGCAGTGTAGCAATCACTGCAAGCAATGAAAGGAATTCTGTGTAGTACACATGACACGAAACCTTGGACAGAAGCAGTGGCTCAGCGAGCACGAGGACTCTACAACAGTCAGCTGTTGGTGGCAATGGAAGCTGATGTAGAGCTGATAGACTCTGAGATAAAATCTGTAAAGGGATGGCATTTCTACTTTTCAGTGTCAATATATGTGACTATCCACATTTGCACTTTTTTATTATTGCTGTTCTTATATATTTTGTTTTAATAATTCCAGAGTTCCTTTTATTTTTATTTTTTTTAGTTTTGGCAGTGCCTCACAGCATGTGGGCGGCATGTGAGATCTTAGCTCCCCAACCAGGGATTGAACCCAGGCCCCCCTGCAGTGGAAGTGCTGAGTCTTAACCACTGGATCGCCAAAGAAATCCCCACATATTTTTTAAAACTCAGATTTTTTTTTTCTAAAATGAAATAAAATAAATGTGCTCAGTGATCAAAAGGAAAAAAAAGAGTTCCATCTCTTGCTGCCAAGGAGGGAGGCACGTGTATGAATAGGGCTTTCCCATTTTTTGCCATTTTCCTGATGACTAATCCTAAGGACAATCCCTGCTCCTAACATGGGCTACGTGAGCTTGAAGTTCACTAAACGCTTCGACTTTCTTTTTGAATTTATGCCTCACCACTGCCCCTCTACCTAGCCAGACAAGCATGGCTTTCCCACTTTTCAGATGAGGTAAGTGAAGCTCCCAGAGAGAAAGGGACTAGCTCAATCCACAGGCAAGTAGATGCCATGTCTGGGACTCCAGAATGGAACCGGAGTGTTCTATTTACCTAGGCGATCTGGTTGCCCAGCACTTGGAGGCTTCCACCTCCAGAAGCCCAGACACCTCACTAGTCCCTCTTGTGCCACAGAGGACAGGTCTCCCTGAGCTGTGACCCTGCTCCCACAAGGGAGTAGTCCCTGTAGTGCCCTCCCCAACCCAGGTGCTCTCTGGTTCCCCCAGGAGAAGAGGATGGCCTACGAAAAATCAGTCGACATCTCTGACATCAACAGGTCAATGTTCAAGTGCCCATGGCTGGAATATCCAGAAAGGACCAAAGGTGAGGCTGAAATGGACAGGAGTGGAGTCAGGGATAGGGACCTGAAAAGGAAGGCTCCCAGGCAGGGGTCTGGGTGATGTCAGCAGATCCGTGGGAAGAGGCAGGGCAGACCCTTGGATACTTTCAAGGCTCCCCACAGCCCTCAAGGTAAGTCTCCAGCACCCTCTAAGATGGGATGTCTTTGTGTCTCCCCAGCTTCTGCCCCCTCATCTGCACCCCATGCTTACGACTCCAAGGTTTGCAGGTATTCCTCGTGCCCACTGCTCTTCCCCCTCATCTGTCTGGCTACCTCCTACTTGCTCTGAAGACTCGACTTGTGTATAATCTCCTCTGGGAAACCCTCCCTGCTCCTCCCAGCCAGGTTAGGGACAACCTCATCTGGACCACGTGTGCCTTTATCCATCTTCACATTTGTTTCCCTCTATTAATCACCAGTAAACAGTTCTGTCTCACCAGCTAGACCAGTGGTTCCCAAAGTATGTTCCCAGGACCAGCAGCATCAGTATCTTGTTAGAAAAGCAAATTCTCAGACCACACCCCAGATTTACTGAATCAACACTCTGGGGATGAATCTTCATCTGGGGATAAGGAAATCTGTGTTTTAACAAGCTCTCCAGTTCTTTCTAATGCACACTCAAGTTTGAGAACCACTGAATGAGACCAGTGGTTTTCACCATTAGCTGCACATTAGAATCCTCAGGGGAGCTTTCTAAAATGCCTGGGCCCCTTCCTCAGAGAATCTGATTCAATTAGTCTGATGTAGGACTCAGGCATGTTAAAAATTCCCTCAAATAATTCTAATACCCAGCCAGGGTTGAGAACCACTCTGCTAGACCAGTGTTTCTCCAATTTCAACGTGCATAGGAATCCTGCTCAAATGAAGATCCTGACTCAGTAGGTCTGGGGTGGAGCCTGGGGCTCTGCATTTCTGAGAAGCTCTCAGGCTATGGCAATCTTACTGTTCCACAGACCAAGATACCAGGAAAGTATGAGTCCCTGAACAACAGGAATTATGCCTTATTTACCTCCCAGTGCCTGATACAGCGTTCATTAAATGCTAATGCTAAATAAATGAAAGACTGGAAGGATGACTCTTCAATCCACCCTTGTCATTGTCATCCCATTTGTACCATAGAACTCAGAAGAGCCACAGCTCCTGTTCTCCTGCCCTTGTCCTGCCACCAGGTAAGACCCCTAACTTCTGCCACCCTGGGAGCTTTGTTGAAGTAGGAGGGGCAGCAGACTATCCTTTCCCATTAAGGCTAGTTCATAGAACCCTGACACTCACCCCTGGGGCTGCTACTAACTATGTGTGACCTTGGACAAGTCACTTTCCCTCCCTGAGCCTCAGGAGTACCCTCTGTCACAAGCCAACCCCTTCCCATCTCCCTTTATCAAGTTGCTATGAGACAATATCTGTAAGGCTTAGGCTATGCAGGCAGGGCTTAATAATGAGTCATTTTTATTAACACAGGGATCTTCCTCATTAGAGTTGCCAGATAAAATGGGATGCCTGATTAAATCTAAATTTCACCTAAACAATGAATAATTTTTAGTATGAATATGTCCTAAATATTGCCTTCATTACCTGGAATCAAAATTCAACAGGACATCCCGTTTTTTATTTGCTTGGTTTTTACTAAATCTGACAACCCTACTCAGACTGAGTCAATGCCCCATTTTCTGAAGTCACGACAATCACCCGAGAACTCTTATGATGATCTTCTCAGTCACCACACTGGGAACCACTGGCTGAAGCCCCTCTTCCTTGTTGCTCAGAGATCTGTTGTAGAGACAGGAAGGCTTGAGAAGAGACAGGAATGAATCCTAGCCAAACCTTCCGAGAAAGCCCCTGACCCATCCAAAACCCTCCACTGCAACCAGAGCTACAGTTTCACAATTGTGTAAGAGATAGATTATTTGAAGAAATCCTGCTTTTCCAACCAAACTATTAAGTTCCGTGAGGGCAGGGCTGATAACTGTATCCCCAGCACCTAGTGCTTGGCACATGGTAAGTGCTCACTAAGTATCTGTTGAATGCCTGAATGAAGGAGCTGTAGCCTGAATTTCCGCCCCCCCCCCCTTTACTCCACATCTCCCTCGCCCCCTGCCTTTTCATCTCCTTGCCCAAAGCTTTTTCAAAGTACTCTGAGATGCTCAACTAACCAAACTGTGTACGGTTGTCCCTCGGTATCAGCAGGGGATTGGTTCCAGGACTCCTGAGGATACCAAAATCCATGGATATTCAAGTCTCTTGTATAACGTGGTGTGGTATCTGCATGTAACCTACACACATCCTCCCTAGATTACTTATAATACCTAATACAATGTAAATGGTATGTAAAGAGTTGCTGGGTACGTGGCAAATTCAAGTTTTGTTTTTTGGAACTTCCTGGAATTTTTATTTTCCAAATACTTTCAATCTGTGGTTGGCTGAATCTGTGGATGTGGAACCTGCGGATACAGAGGGCCAACTGTACTCAGATCCATTTGCAGATCAGCAACGGCTTCACCACCTTTATGTCATTTGTTCTTCACAACCACCCTGGGAGGGGTACAGAACAAGGAGTATTAGCTCCAATTTGCAGATGAGAAGACTGAGATCTTGGTGGGGTGAAGTAACTTGCCCGAGTCACACAGTGGGTTAGGAGGTGGCTGTGACTTCAGCTCAGATGACAAGGCTGAAGGGCTGTTTCCCTTGTCTAGTCCCTTCTCACCCTGCCCCTTTTCCTGGCTGAGGAATGCCCCCTGTGACTGCTCTGCCACTCACACCCCCCAGATGCCAAAGGAAGAGTTTCCCCCAAGTCCGGAGTGCTGGAGGCAGCACCCAAGCAAGCCAAACTCCGTACCTTACTGCTATTCCAAGCAGCCTGAGATCTACACGCACTGGCACACCCTGTATAATCAGCAAAAGGAACGGGAGGCCCAGAAGATACTGTGGAAAATGAGAGATCACCCTAGGTGTGTTGGGCCCCTTCCTGTTCTCCACGCCCTCCACATCTTCTAGGAAAGGAAGGAAAGAGAAGAAAGGGTTGGAGTGGGGCTGGGCGTGGTGCAAGTCAGCCTCCAGATCCCAGAGGAGACCCTGGGGTAGAAGGAGGCTCATCTTCCTTCCTCTGGTCTCACCTCTGAGCTGGGCTGAGGACCAGAGGCAGAGAAGAGTTTGTGAAGTAAGGAGGGAGGGAACAAGGGGACAAGGGCTACCTGTGCAATTTCTCACACAGGTACCTCAAAGAGGGTACCCTCATCCCAAAACTCCATCTCCCAATGAGCAAGCTGATTATAAAACCTCAGATGGAATCCAAGCCCTTAGACCCTACTGGGGACCCGCTGAAGTGGCAAAGATTAAAGGTCAGGGACCACGGCTCGGGGGAGAATGGGGAGACTTTCTTTCTGTGGGTGCCCTTACCTGGGGCTCACACCATCCTTCTGCCCTCAGTCCCTGCCTGCTGCCTGCAAGATGGAGGGAGAGGAGGAAAGGGGATTGGATTGGATGAGCTCCTTCCAGTTTGAAAGTACAGTTGTAGTACTCTATTTATCCCTTTCTTCCCTTCCACTGGCTCCCTTTGATGGGCAGGAACTCACTGAAAGCCTGAAATCTCCCAGAGAGGATGAGCAGCTCTATGCAGCACAGGTGAGAAGTGGCAAGGGTGGAGGGGCATGGTTACAGGTAGGAGTTGGCTGAGCTGAGGAGTAGAAAGATGCTTGAGGTGGAGGGCAAGGGTAGAGTGATGTTCCAAGAATAAACTCCAGCTGTGTCCAGAGGATGGAAATTCCCGGTGGTGGTGTCCAAGGTCTCTTCCCTTTCCTCTAACCCTGTTCCTGCAGGCTCTGGGGTGCCTGGGCGTCAGAGACAAGTTTATCATGGAAGCACTATGGCAGGTGGTGAGTCTGGGGCTGCACAGAGATCAGGAGAGGAGGAAACAGAGCCTGAGGTGTGTAGAGCATTGGCACATGGGCACTGACAAGGCTCGCCAGGCTCAAGGACTACGGGTCAGATCCAGGGAGGAGAGAGCTGCCTTGTGTGGCATGTCCCCATCTCATGCCCTTGGCTTCTTTAAAGGGCAGCTTGATCTAGAAGGATGGGGAAGGGGGAATCTGAAGATCCCCTTTGTCTAACAGGTAAGATGAGCAACTAAAAAGCTAGGAGAAAACTGGGACTGAGTTCATTCTCTACCTTAACTGAGTCAATGCCTGTGCCTATATGCCAATTTATAATGGGGGGTTCTGTGTTCTTACACAGAATCTCATTTAAATCTTCCAATATTAGGAATAGGTAGTAGTTGCTGCATTTTTCTAACGAGAAAATGAAAGCTCTGAGAGGCCAAGTGACTTGCCCAAGGCCATGTGGCTACCAGATACCAGAAAGGGATGTGAACAAAAGTCTTACTCCCAAGTCGTGTTCCTTCCATCGTACCATCCTGCCTGTACCCTGTGTTGGAGCATAAACAGGTCACTCTCTAGGCCTCGGTTTCCTCATTTGTAAAATGAAAAGTTAAGCTGAGATGATCCTGAAAGCTCTGACATTCCACCACCTTATGGCATGTTCCTACCCACCGCCTCTTAAATCAGGCCCAAACTGGCCCAGAGAAAGTGAAGTATGAGGCCTGTCAAACCCTGGCCATCCTGGGTGAGTATGTCGTCTCCCTGGGTGGGGAGAGGGGGGAGGTGAGGAAGGAAGCAGTGCAGCCACACTGCCCTTTGGGGAAGGACAGAAGGGAGTGGACTGTACACTCACTGCAACCTAGCCATTGGCAGGGTCTGGGGATTGTCTGATGTACTGTTGGGCAGAGAGAGGAAGGTGGGGTGAAAAGCGAGAAGCGATTGGAGGGAGGGAGAGAACGGGCTCTGGGAACAGCTGTCATGCTCAGCCAGCTGCTCTAGTGTCTTGAGGGGACGGGCAACCCTGTGACCTAGTACTTGGAGCTTCTGTCTTGAAGGCACAGGGGTCAAATGGATTCTGGCAGAGAGGAGCAGCCCTGAGGCTCTGCCCTGACCTGAGGTCCTCCCCGTCCAGGTTGCCTGAATAAGCATGTGATCCAAGCTCTCATCAAGCAGCTGAAGGGGCAAAATGAGGGGCAAAGGATGGATACTCTGACAGCGCTACGGGTGGCTCTGAACTCCTGGGCTGCTGTCCCCAAAGACCAGGTGATTGGGAGGAGAGTCAGTCACTGGGGCGAGGTAAGACAAGGTAATTGATAGTGTTGGCAGGGGGTTAAGCCAGGGAGAAGGTAACGTAGCTCCTAGCTTTGATGGTGGAGGACATTGTCCTTGTGGAGTCCCCTGTGGAATAGGTTCCCTGGACAGAGCATTGGCATAGCCACTTAACTGGTCATACAACCTCTGAAAAGCCAGCTTTCAGAGGTGTCATTTGTCCGTCTCTAAAATGGATAGAGTAGTTATCTTACAGCATTGTTGAGAAGATTAAATGAGATAATATATGTAAAGCACCTAGCTCAATGCCTGTACTCTTTAAGTGATAACTCATCATCATTATTATCATCCTTAAAATAACCTATTAAAGGAAAACCTCTGCCAAAAGGGTACTGGGACCAAGAGAGTCTGCTGACACTACTCAAGACTTTTCCCCCTTAGGGTCCTCTTACTTTGACCCCATCGCTGCTCCACATGAAACAGAATTCATCACTCATCCATTTACTCAACAAACATATATTAAACAGCTGTCATGTGTGAGACACCATCCTAAGCCCTTGGGATATGTCAGCAAACCAAACAGGCAGAGATCCCGGCTTCCGTGGAGCTTACATTCTAGTTGGGGGGGGGGACATGTAATAACCAAGAAATTTAACTATATAGTATGTTAGAGGTGACAAGTGCAATGGAAAAATTACGTAGCAAGGTGAGAGTGATCAGGAATGCTGAGTGGAGATGGGATGAGTTGCACTTTTAAACATGGAGGACAAGGAAGGCCTCATTTGGAAGTTGTCATCTGAGCACAGACAAGAAGGCGAGGGGTAAGCCTTGCAGATATCTGAGAGAAGGCATCCTGGCAGAAGGACAAATCCAGGCAAAGGCCCTGAGGCAGGAGCACGCTTGGCATGGTCAAGGAACAGCAAGGAGGCCATGTGAAGGAAGTGGAGTGGGAACAGAGAAACCAGGAGGAAATGAAGCTGGGTCAAAGATGTTAAAGGAGACTAGATCGTATGTGGGCTTCTGGATGACTTTTAAGTACTTGAGCTTTTACTCTGAGTGGAATAGGTATTTGAGCAAAGCAGTAACATAATCTAACTTATGTTTCAAAAGGTTCACTCTTACTGCTATGCTGAAAAAAGATGGGCAGGGGTGGGGGGCAAAAGTGGGAGCAGAGAGACCAGTTAGGGGCTGCTGAAGCAATCCTGGTAAGACACGATGGTGGCTTGGACCATGGTGGTTGCAGCGTGGTTGGTAAGAAGTTATTCAATTCTGGATACATTTTTAAAGCAAAACTCTGACAGGTTAAATGTGAGTTATAAAAGACAGTGAGGGGCACTTCCCTGGTGGCGCAGTGGTTGAGAATCCGCCTGCCAATGCAGGGGACATGGGTTCAAGCCCTGGTCCAGGAAGATCCCACGTGCCGTGGAGCAACTAAGTCCGTGCACCACAACTACTGAGCCTGCGCTCTACAGCCTGCGAGCCACAACTACTGAAGGCCGCGTGCCACAGCTACTGAAGCCCATGCACCTAGAGCCCGTGCTCCACAACAAGAGAAGCCACGACAATAAGAAGCCTGCACACCACAACGAAGAGTAGCCCCTGCTCACCTCAACTAGAGAAAGCCCGCGTGCAGCAACAATGACCCAACACAGCCAAAAATTTTAAAAATTAAAATTAAAAAAAGACAGTGAGGAAACAAGGATGAGGTCAAGGTTTTTGGCCTCGAAACTGAAAGGATGGAGTTGTTACCAACTAACAGCTGCAGGTGGAACAGGCTTGGAGGTACTATAATATCAAAAGCCCAATTTTGGACAAGTTATGTTTCAGATGTCTACCGGACCTCCAAAGGAGACAGCAAGTAAACAGTTAGATATACAGCTAGAGGAAGAAATCTATGAGTTGTCAGCATATAAGTAGCATTTAATGTCATTCACCTAGATGAGATCACTAAGAACCAAGAATCAAGCCTTGGGGCACCCCAATGTTAAGCGGTCAGAGACAAGAGGAAGAATCAGTAAATACTGAGAAGTGGCCAATAGGTAGGAAGACAGACAAGAGTGCAGCATTCTGAAAATCAAGTGAAGAACATATATCAAGGAAAGGAGATAAATCAACCATATCAAATAATACAAGGACTGAGAATCGATCCAATGGATTTAACAATGTGGGAATCATTGATTATCTTAACAAGAACCATTGTGGGGACTTCTCTGGTGGTCCAGTGGCTAAGACTCCACACTCCCAATGCAGGGGGCCCGGGTTCAATCCCTCGTCAGGGAACTAGATCCCACATGCTGTAACTCAAGATCCTGCGTGCTGCAACTGAAGATCCTGCATGCTGCAACTGAAGATTCCACATGCCACAACTAAAGATCCCACATGCCGCAACTAAGATCCCACACACCGCAACTAAAAAGATTCCACATGCCACAGTGAAGATCCCGCATGCCACAACTAAGACCCAGTGCAGCCAAATAAATAAATATTTTTTAAAAAGAACCATTCTGGTGGGAAGGTGGGAGTGAAGGCCTGAATAGGGTGGGTTTAAGAGAGGATGGGAGGAAAGAAGTTAGAGTTGGCAAGCATGGACAACTTTCCAAGTTTTGCTGAAAAGAGTTGTAGTCAGCAGCAGGGGTAAATACTAGAAAAAGGAAAAATAACAGCATGTTTCAATGCTGAGGTGTAATGATCCAGTCGTTAGGAAAATGACCATTTTGAAGAGGGTGGGAAGAATTGTGCAGCAATGTTCTTGAGCAGATGAGAAGGGATGAGCTCGAACACATGAGTAGAGAGACTGACTTTAGATAGATGGTCATTGTCCATTGTAACACGTGGAAAGGAAGAACATATGGGTGCAGGTGTTGAAAGTTGGATAGAAGTGGTGGTAAGTGTCTCTGGAACTTCTTTTCTAGTTGCTTTTATTTGCTCAGTAAAGTAGGAAGCAAGGTCATCAACTTAAGATAATAGAGGAAGAAGTAGTAGAGATTCCAGAGGAAAGAGAATGAATTAGAAGGGTGGGAAAGAGAATTGCCCGGGGAAAAGCAGTCTAATCACTAGGCAGCATTAAGGGTCTACACAAGGTTTGTGTTCATACACTTCAAGTGAGATTAGTCATCATAACTTTGTTCTCCGCCAGGAAGTGCAGGCGCAGCGTTGGTGGAGAGTTGAGTACAATGAAGCAAGAGGGGGTAAAGGAGTTGAGTGGGCAGGACCGTGGAACTGAAGCTGGGTAGAGGGAAGAAAGTGAGGAGCAGTGAAAAGGTGATCAGTGAATTGTTAGTCTTTGTGGAGTCCAACAGTTGTTGACATCAGAGGAGAACCAGAAAGATGGGGGGGAGGGGTCATAGAGAAGTTGCAGTAATGGGTAATGATAAAGTCTCTATGTGGGAATTAGTGGCTGACACAGAGTAGAGGACAAGGTTATTGGAGGAGAGGCGTTGGATCAGTGACATGTATATTTTTTCAAATGCCAGGAATTAAGATGGCAGAAGTGTTAGAGAGTAACATTGATCCATCCACAAGAAAAGTCATAGAGAAATGAAAGGATGCAGCCTAGGGGCAAGTAGATGACAGCAAAAATAAGGGAAGTGGGTAAAATAATCTCATGACGTGAGATTCACCTTAAGGAGGAGGGAGGATGGTCTGGAAGCAGTAATGAATTGCCTTCCTGACAAAGCCTGGCCGAAGACATAGTCCCACCACCCGTGTCCCTCATCTCCCTCTCAGAGGACTCAGGTCGAGGATGGAGAGAAGCTGGTGCCTGTGCTGCAGATGCTGATAAAGAAGTCAGGGAACAAGGCAGCAGTGGAGGCGGCCCTGTGCTTGGGGTTCCTGAGGCCCTGTAGCAGCACAGCCCGAGAGTACTTGCTGCAGTGCCTGCACCAAGGGTCGAAGATCCAGCAGATGCAGGTGTGAGGGGCAGGAGGACGAGCTCCCTGGGGAGCACTGGGGAACCGGTGCTGACTGGTGGGGTCTGGACCCTGTCATCCTCATCCCAGAGAAAAGAAGCTCCCGCAAGGAGCACCACAGGGTCTCTGTGTGTTTTGTCAGTATGTATATACATATGAGTACAGGGTCGTATGGACGCTAAATGTACACGTCTGTGTACATTCGATGTGTATGGGTGTTCATGCACGTATGTACACGTGTGTGCACATGAACTTATGCTCTCACTCACGAGGCCAAGAGGGAGGAGAAAGGACCCCACCTCTTCCCTACAAGTTCTAGCCCTCGAGCCCGTTTGGCCATCCAGATGCCTCTGGGCCTGTTATACCCCAGCCCGCCCTGCCCACCTCCACAGGCACTCAGTATGCTGGTCAAGGTAATGGGTGTGCACTCAGCCACGGTCATCAGGACCATCCTAGACCAGCTGTGCTATTCCAGTGTCCTTGAGGTAAGCTCTAGGGCTGCCTAGTACCCTGCCTTCTCCAGGACTAGGACAGGGAGTCTATCCTTCATGTCTTCCCCACCCCTGCCCTCAGCACCGTTTTGAAGCCAGCCAGATGCTCAAGACCATTGGGCTGGAACAGATCCAGGCACAGGGCCTGGAAGGACTCACGTTTGACCTGCTCAGGAGGAAGACATATAATGAACCCTTCTTCGTAAGTGAGACCAAAACTCCCAAGTCCAGGCAGCTCAAAACTGTCTCTCTACCTTTCTCTAAAGACCCCCCTGGCTTGGTTCTCACCACGCTGCCCCCCAAAGCATCACATTGACCCTAATGCAGCCCCTGTTTTCAAGCCACCTTGCCTTCATGCGGGCCGTTCTCTCAGCTTAAAAGGCCCTGAGTCACCTCTCCCTCCTCTGCAAGGTGGAAAACTGCCGCATGCTTTCAGTCCCACTGGTAAGTAACTCATTTCTCCTTCTGCCTATTAAAATACGATTGTCCCTTTCAAGCCAGTCCAAACAACACCTCCTATGGGAAGCTTTCCCAGATCACCAACAACAGAATCACCCTGCCTTCCTCTGTGCTCCCTTGCTTTTATCTTTGTTATAGCTTGCTACAAAACCAGCCACAGAACTGCTGAAGACATTTTTCTAAACTGTGAATCAGATTGCACCTCTGCATAGAACTTCTCAATCGCTCCCCAAGCCCTCAGAAGGGCTTACACTGCCCTTCACCACCCAAGTCCTGCCTACCTGTCTAGCCCCACTACACTCCCGCTCAGAGCCACACCCCGTCCTGATTTATACCTGTGGTCCCAGTGTAATTACTCAGAGTGCCCCACTCTGAAGAGTCCATTTGGTCACCTAGCTAAACTGAACTGTTTCCTGCTCCCTAACCTCTCTGTGCTCTCTCTTGCCTCCAGGCTTCTGTACATGCTCTCTCTCTTGCCCGGGAAATCTGCCCCCAGCCCTCTACCTGGTTAACTCATGTTCCATGATCAGGTTTCAGCTGAGGCATCACTTCCTCCAGGAAGTCTTCCTGGTACCCAGACTGAGCTAGGAGACCCTCCTATTGCCCCTACACTTAGTTCAGGAGTGTGACTGACTGTTCCACTTGTCTGCTTTCCCCACCAGAGCATGAGCTCCTCGAGGCAAAGATCATATATGTAGCACAAAGTAAACATTCAATAAGGTTTGAGAAGCACTTTAAGGGTACACCCCTGAATCCTTGTCTCACCTTAATCCCTCTTCAGGCTATGAGGCAGGCTGTTGCTGAAACTGTGGAAGAGCTCAAGATGAAGCCCACAATGATGAACTTGGTGGAGGCGTGAGTGGCTTGGGCTGGGAACTGCCAGGGCCAAATCCTAGGCTGTGAGAAGGGGACAGAGGGTCAGAGAGAGCTGAGAACCTACGGCCCATTCTCAGCTCGCACTTGCCTGTGCCCCTGGCCAAGTCACTCTTTGACCTCTGGGCTTTTCTTCATCTGTAAAAAGGGGCTGATAATACCTACCACTCAGGGTTACTATAAAGCTCCGATTAAGATGAGGACATGAAAGGGACTTGTAAAAGGTAATGTTCTGGACAGATGTGAGTCCTGATCGTCATTTAGTGCCCCCTGGAAAACTGTAGTACCTACCTTTCCCCTCCCAGCCCCTTTCCTCACCCAAGAAATAAGAAGGGGAAGTTAATAAAATTAACATCACACATCAGCTTTATGCCTGACTCACTCTGGACTGTAAGAAGCAGCCAGCCTTCCTCCCCTCCCCTTTACTGGACCACAACACACTCACTCCCTTCTCCAGGCAACTGACGAGCTCAAATGCCACTGCACGCCAGGAAGCAGTCATCTCTTTGGTAAGGCCAGCTCCGCTACTCTAACCAGATGTTTTGATGGCAGGGGTAGCAGGCAGTCCAGCAGTTACTGAAGGGAAAAAAGGGCTGTAAAGTTTGGGGAGGTTGTTTGCTTGTTTTTTTATTTTAGAATTCCAGCCCTATCAGGAGTTCAGGAAAAGATTTTCTTCAGGATTGGAGGTGGGTGGGATAAGGGACAGGAGAAGGGTGTGGGGGCATTGCTTAGATATTACATGTAGAAACTATCTTGACTCTTCTGGTGAAAAAATTGTACTGGAACCCAATGAAGTGGCCCCAAAAGGCAAGGAAAGTGCTACCTCTGCTGGGAAGCCATCTCTCCTCTCCAGGCACAGGGTCGTCACAAGGGCACTAGAATGGAAGAGTGTAGACAGGGCATCTTCCTGGGGCCGGCTATTTAGGCGCCCTCATCCTGCCTCTGCCAGGGTGTCCTGGGGATCCGCAGCCCACAAGTGTTCCACTTGGTCCTAGACATGCTGGATGTGGAAAAGAGCCCGTGTGTGAAAAAGAGCGTAAGGCATCCCCGCCCACCTCTTCCTCTTCTCAACCCTTCCTCCAAGCCTCTCCCACCTAACCTCACGCCACGTGCTCTTTGTCAGAGGGGAGGAGAGGGGAATACGCCCGTAGACACTGTCCCCTTGACCTCATTCCCTGGGATCAGAAGGGCCTGTAGACAGAGCTCCCCCTTCCCTCCCAGCATTGGCCTGAAGTGAGCCAGCCACAGGGCCTTTGTTTCAATGCAGCTACAAGAAACATTAATTCTTTTGGCCTCGATTGATCCCTGGATCCAAAACAAGCTGAAGAACAAGGTTCTCTTTGTATATGAAGTGCCTAAGAACAGCATGAACGTAGAGTTCACGAGGTTCCAGAAAGAGCCTGAGAAACCAGAAGAGTTAAATATCCAAGACTTTCAACTTGCACAGCTGAACCCCTTGTTTCTTACAAAGTCCAGTGCCACGTCAGACCAACAGAAGAAGTTAAATGCCCAGAAAGGGTCTGGTACCTCTGCCTTTCCATCCTGTTTCTCTAAACCACAAAAACACAAGTCACAGGCCACAGGGTCCTGGACACGAGGGATCAGGAAACAGCTCCGGATCCTTGCTGAGACCTCCAATTAGGTCAGTTCTTTTGGCTGAGTTCCCACTCTCTCTTTAAGGATGCTTCTCAGGCTCCCCTGAGAAAATAATCTATACTTATCTTCTATGAATAAATGAGCATCACTCCACCTACCACTACTGTTCCCTTCCTCATGGGCTGCACTGAAACATAGGTCACCTCACTCCTGGCTGGTCACTCCCCTACTCAGCCACATGCCCTTTCCATGAGACAAGGCTGCTCTAGACAGCCAGCCTGCCTTCCTAAATCACGTCCTTGTCTATGCCCAGAATTTGATGACAAAGCTAAAGCTGAGCTTCTGCCCAGAGGTGGCTGCTGAGGGGAAAATGGGAGAATATCCTGGAAAGCTTGGCTATTGGACCATTTCCTCTTACTAACTTGCCCCCCCCCCTTTCCTATCAGTGGTCAAGAGATAAATTAGGCTTAATCAAGACCAACCATCCTCTCTTCTGTCTCTTCTCTTACACCTGCTTTCTACCTACCTCAGGGTCATTCCCTTTGACAGACTCTATTTACTCTCTAAGACTGCCTTAGATTCTCCCTTATTTTTACTGAAGGCTTCAGTTTCCCTTTGCCAATAGGACCAATCACACCAATCCCAAAAAGCTACATCCTCCGTCAGAAAGGAAAAGCCCAGACTTCAGAGTCAGACAAATCTGAAATCAAATCCTAGGGTCCATTACTCACTTTATCTTTGACTTTGGACAAGTTATTGAACCTTTCTGTTTCCTCACCTACAATATGAACAGATTAATGCATACTACTTCTGAGGGCTCCTATGAAGATTAAACAATAATATAAAGCCTAATGGTGCCTGGCATTCCATAGTAGGCACTCAAATGTGGGCTTCTTTTCTCTCCTTTCCTCTCTTCAGTGTTGCCATGTGAGCCCGTGACCACCAGAGATTTAAAAAGTCCTTTTACTTCCTCAGTCTTACTGAGTGGTCTAATGAGAGGTCAAGTTCTTCCCATCGAGTAGGAAAGCCCAAAGTGACATAAATGTTCTCTTCTACTTCCCCACATTCCAGGTCCTAGAGTAGTCCAGTTATTCTGAATCCAGCATGGTATATGTCAATGAGATTTATCTGCCCACCTGCCCTACCACTTCCAAATTCATGTTTTGCTTCACAGAGTTGTAAGTAAAAACCAAAAGAGTAGTTTCACTATTCTGGGGTATAAGCAACACTGCCTCTAATAGTGTGGCACAAAGACCAAAGATGGAAAAATGATTATTTTCTTTTGCCCACTCTGTAGGTTTGCACTGGTGAGCAACCTAACCCAAATTTCCCTGGGCCTTGATAGCCTGTGGATACAAACAAGGCCTTATTAACTACATAATTCAGGCTCTCAACTCCTGCAAAGTCCTGTCCACAGATTTCCAACCCCTCCTCTTCCATACTTATGGGTCTCTCCAGGGGATGTCTCATTACTCAGCCAGATACCAGTCTCTGCTCAGTAGGACCTCAATACTAATTTCACCAATCCTCACCAGAAGATTTAAGGCAGCACCAAGGGGACTTCCCTGGTGGTCCAGTGGTAAAGAACCCACCTTCTAATGCAGGGGACGTGGGTTCAATCCCTAGTCGGGGAACTAAGATCCCACATGCCGCAGGGCAAATAAGCCTGAGTGCCACAACTACTGAGCTCACACGCCTCAACAAGAGAGCCCACGTGCCGCAAACTGCAGAGCCCACACGCTCTGGAGCCCGCGCACCACAACTAGAGAAGAGAAACCCGCACGCCACAACTAGAGAAGAGAAAACCCGCACGCCACAACTAGAGAGAAGCCCGCACACAACTAGGGAAGCATGCACGCAGCAACAAAAGATCCCACATGCCTCAACGAAGATCCCACGTGCCACAACTAAGACCCGATGCAGCCAAAAAAAAAAAAAAAAAAAGAAAATAAAAATTAAAAAAAAAAAGACAGCACGGAGCATAAAGGTCTGCATAGAGCACCGACCATCTGGTATGCCACCAAGGTACCAGAGCCTTCCCAGTACCAGAGCTACCTATATCCAATATTCTTAGAAACACACTTAATCCAAGCTGTGGCCAACTTCTCTCAGAGGCCTGAAATGCCCACTCTTCTCAGCCATCAGGATATGTTGGGATAGATTTTTGGACACCATCCAAAATGTGGCACCATCCAAAATTTAAGTCCCCCTCTTACCTCTCCTCCCTTTCTAATGGGATCTCTGGATACTCCCACTGATGGCAAAAAAAAAAAAAAAAGGATTTATACCCTCTACCTCTACACCTCTTCCTCAAACATTCTCCCCCATCTCTGTGCTATAACTGAAACCTTGCTCTTGAACTGGCCTCTTCCTGAAATGTCAGGTGTTGCTCATCCTCCTACATTCCTTCCAATGTCACAATGTCCTGTCATTGTTTCTCCAAGGGTCTTGGCTCTCAAACGAGCTATCCCACCCTCTGGCCCACTTCCCTATTTTCTCTCATTCATTGCCTGAATCTTAGTCTTGCTATCACCATCCCTATGGACAACCATCCAACACCTCAGTTCCTCAGTCCCTCAGCTCAACTACAAAGGCTTTTCCCTCTCTTTCACTTCAGCTACCTACTCCCATGGCCACACTTAGCCCTAGTCATCCCCAGGAATTTCTCCATCTACAAAATCGTGAACATCTACTTTCTGACCCAAACCTTCTATCTCTCCAGCTCTTTTTATCCCCACTACCAGGCCTCTGAATCTCATCAATAACACTAAGGTCTTGACTTCCCTACATTCTCCCTGTTAGCCCCCTCTTACTTTTTAAATTTCTACTCAGCTGGGACTCCATCCATCCACCACTATTCTCACTATTCTTATACTTCCACTATCATCTCTCTCTGACTAGTAAAATCCCCAACCCTGAATCAAACTGCCTCTGATCCTATAACCGGGTTGCTGATTATAGTGGAGAAAGCTCACACATCCATAGACTGGTTCCCTCAAAACACTTGCTTCCTATCTTAACTGAGTTCTTATTGCTGTCTGGCAATTTTATGGGTTCCTAGTTACAATTTCAAGCCTTCTCTGCTCTCTTCACATTTCCTACAGTCTCTTCAAACTTTCTATCCTATTACTCCCCAACTCTCAGTAGGCCATTATAATTTCTCTCCGGGGGAAAAAAATAAAAGACATCAGATGAAATTACCTCAACTTCTTGCCACCTGTTATAAAAATGCTTGTATACAGTAGTTGATAGCACAGGCTCTAAGGCCAGATACTCTGGTTAGTATCCTAGCTCTGTAACTTACTAGAGATGTGATCTTGGGTAAGTTGCTTAACCTTTCAGGGTCTCTGTTCCTCAGTGTCCCTTCTGAAAGCCCCTTTCCAGTAGCAATCAAAATCATTTACACCATTCACCTCTTCTCTGACTTTATGTTCAAAAGGAATATTTTTCCCTATACCTCCTTGCCTCACAGCATTGTTATGAGAATTAAATGAGTTAACACGTACGGATTGCCTGTAATTGCCTGGCATACAGTAAGCCCCCAATAAATGTCAGTCACCTGTTACTACGATTATCAGCATCTGCACTTACCTTAGCTCCACTACAGTGCAAGAGGCACTCTCCTCTTCCAAGGCGAAATCCTCCACCAGTGTCTGGGTGCCATCCCTTCAAGGAATCTGAATATCAATTTTCCCCATTTCCTCTCAAATAGTGTATAAACATGATCAATTCCCATCCATCTTAAAAATAACCTCCCACAAACCCACAACCCTTTCTAGATGCCTCCTCTCCTTAGCTCACCTCACCTCTAATCACCCTTCATAATCAAGATTCTTAAATAGTTGTCCACACTACCTGTCTCCATTTCTCTAATTCCTATGATTTATTACCCTACTTCAGTTTGGGTTCAGAATTCAATTCTCTACCAAAACTGCTTTTGCTAAGGCAGTAGTTCTCAAAAGGGACAATTCTGCCCCCTCCAAGGGACACTTGGCAATGTCGGGAGACATTTTTGGTTGTCACAATTGGGGGCTGCTACTGGTGTCTTGCGGTAGAGGGCAGGGATGTGGCTAAATATCCTATACATAGCACAGGGCAGCCCTCCACAACAAATAATTATCCAACCCAAAATGTGAGTAGCACCAAGGTTGAGAAATCTCATGCAAAGATAATTTATAACCTCCGTATTGCTACATACAATGAATGCTTTCTATCCTTTATGTGACTCGGCCAACTCGAGCACTTGACCCCATTAGTTTCTCCCTCCTTGTAGTCCACTCTTCCCTTGGGTTCCACTGACACCTCACTGGTATTCCCAGTCTGTTTCAGTATCCTCTTCTATTATTTTTTTTTTATTTTTGGCTGCACCACGTGGTTTGTGGGATCTTAATTCCCCAACGGGAGCGAACCCAGGCCCTCAGCTGTGAAAGCAAGGAGTCCTAACCACTGGACCACCAAGGAATTCCCTATTATCTCTTAAATATTGGTACTTCTCAGGGTTTTGTCCTAGGCTCTTGTCTCTCTAGACTCCAAAACCATTAGAATCAATTGGGGCTTTTGTTTTTTAAATGTCCCAGGCCTCACAGATTCCATTGCTCTGGAGTGGAGCCCAGACATCTTCTGCATTTTAAAAAAGTTGCTAGCTAATTCTAGTATTCAGCTAAGATGGAAAACCACTACACTAGTCTTATTTTAATCATATCCACTCTCATCACTTTAATTACCATTTATATACTAATGACTCAAATCTATAATAATAGAGTCTTTCATTTAGTCAATATTCATTGAGTACCTACCTAGGTACTGGGGTAGAACTCTCCTGGAACTTACATTCTAATGGAGGAGAGAAATTAACCACAAAAAGATTGTTTCATATAGTGATAAGTACTGTGAGGACATCATTAAGAGGTGATGTGTGTGTGACTGGAAGAAGTATTTTAGATATGAAGGTCAGCAAACACCTGGGAGGGAGGCTGGGATTTGACCCAACATTGTTATGAAAAGGAGTCAACCATGTGAATATGAGGAAAGAGAATCCTGCACAAAGCACACGCAAAGATACTAAAACAGAAGCACGTTTTGTACCATCAAGATTAGGACCAATGTGGTTAAGGTAAGGCTAGTATGGAAAAATATTCTCCTATGAGGTTGTGGAGACAAAGGCCAGATCATACAGGGCTTGGTAAGCCAAGGTAAGGAATTTATAGCCAACATACAATGGGAGGTCACTGAAAGGGTTTTAAAGAGGCATGACATATAGGTTGATTTACATCGTTACCATATTGTTTAGCTGCTGTGTGAAGAACAGATTTTATTAGAGGGGCAAGATTGTGGGGGACCTATTAATGGGCTATTGCAGTTATCCAGAAAAGTGATGACTGTAGCTTGTACCAGGATTAGAACTAAGAACATAAAGATGGTTTCAGGATATATTTTGGAGGTAGAATTAAAAGAACCTGCAAGTATGGGATGAGTGAAAGAGAAATCAAATGTAAGTTCTAAGTTTTTTATCTGATCTGATTGGGGTAGATTAAGACTGAGATGAGGAAGACCAGGAAGAAAGAAACTGATTTGGAGATCATAAGTTCTGTTCAGTCCCAGCGGAGTCACCAAAAAAAAAAAAAAAAAAAGTTATGTTAAATACATCCTAGTGAAAAAGTCAAGTAGGCAGCTGGATATAATGCAGAGTTAAGGGAAGAAGACAGACTGGAGACATAAATTTGGTGTAGTCATCACCATATAAAACCCAAGATAAAAGTGAGTATAGGGGCTTTCCTGGTGGCGTAGTGGTTAAGAAGAATCCGCCTGCCGATGCAGGGGACACAGGTTCGAGCCCTGGTCCAGAAAGATCCCACATGCCGCGGAGCAACGAAGCCCGTGCGCCACAACTACTGAAGCCCATGCACCACAACTACTGAAGCCTGCGTGAGCCCGTGCTCTGCAACAAGAGAAGCCACCGCAGTGAGAAGCCCATGCACCACAACGAAGCTTAGCCCCCACTCACCGCCACTAGAGAAAGCCCGCGCACAGCAACGAAGACCCAACGCAGCCAAAAATAAATAAATACATTTTTTTTAAAAAGTGAGTATAAATAGAAGAAAGGGGATCAGAACAAACTGAGAAACTTCTAACACGTAAAGGGCAAGTAAAGCTAGCAAAGGAGACAGAAGTCAGTAAGGAACATCAGTGGCACGTAATGTTCAGTGCTGCTGTTCTCTGAGCTGCAGATTTGCACACCCAGCTGCTGACTGAATGTCCCTACTTGGAAGGGACATTCACAAGTGCCCCAAATTCTACTTACCCACAACTGAATTAATTTCCCTCATCTTACTCCCAAACCTGTTTCCTTTTCCAGTGTTTCCTATTTCGATGAACAGCACATCTACCCAACTGCCCAGGCCAGAAACCTGGCTCTTTTCTCCCCACTACTTCTGACATCCAGCCAAATCCCATCAAATATCCCCCTTCACTTCTCAAATCTATTATCTCCTCCTCATCCAGTCACTATCTGAGCTCAGACCTGTATCATCTCTCACCTGGTATACCATTTTGTCTCCAGTCCAGCCTCTCTACTAGGCAGCCATAATTATCTTTCAGTTGATGCCACTCAGGTCAGCCCATTCCCCTGCTTAAAATCTTTTAATGACTCCCCGTATGGAGGCAGGGGGAAAATGAAATGCAAGGACCTTATCGTAGAGCTGGCTTACCTCTCCAGTCTTATCTTTTACATGCCCATTCGTAAACTTCTTCCTCCAATCACAATGCACTACATACAATTCTCAAGGGCACAGCCTGTTCCTCACTCTTTTAACTCCTGATTTATTAATATTTGTTCATGTCAGTTTTCTGCTGGGAACACCAATTCCTCACCCCAGCCTCTTTACTTAGCCAATTCCTACTCTTCCCTCAAGGCTCTCCAAGCTTTCCCAATCCCACATGACTGGATTAAGTATCCTTCCAACCAGCCCTCAAAGCTCCTTGTACTATTCTTACCAGAGCACTTATCAGACTATATACTCTCTGTTTGCTTGATGAGCAATATATCCAGCATCTGATGCAGTGCCTTACCCTTGGTAAGGGTAGGAAAAACAGTTTTTAAAAGAATATCAAATAACATATTATGTATATTGGTATCTTAACCCTGGTTTGTCAAACCCTTACTCTTCCTTCCTAACCCTTGGACCCCCATATTCCCAGCGTCTAGAACACTGCCCTAAATAAATGGTTCTCAGCTGTAAACCTGGTTTTTATCAAAACCACCTGGTGATCTTAAGATAAATTAAGATTCCCAGCTCTACCTCCCCACATCCCACCAATTTCTGATCCAGTAGACCTGGGGTGAGGCCTACGAATCTGGAATTTTGACAACCTCCTCTGGTGGTTCTGACATGCAGTCATGCTTGGAAACTACTATTCTAAATGGAGTAGGAACTCAATAAATATGGTTGGAAGTAACATTTTAATTTCATGAAGTAGAATTCATTTCCTAATTCTTTAGAGTTCGAATCTGCTGTGACTGCATCCTGAGTGTGACAGAACAATGCACTAATGTACAAAAGTCCACAAAACAAGCATCCTTTATTGCAGTATTACAAAACACTTTCCATTTTGGCAATATTTTACAACGCACTTAGCTTCAAGGGTTGGGAAGGAGAAGGTTGGAAACTAAAGGGGGATATCTCGATGGACATTTTTAAAAGGAAAACTGTCCCAGCCCTCCCACCCAAATAAAAATCCAAATGTCACTTAATCTCACTACGCAAGAAGAGGCCACGAGGAAAGCAGCAGGCAAAACTCTGGCAATTTCACTATGGATCATGTCAGAGACAAAGGAACATTCAAAACAGTCATCAGTATGGTCGGTTGCGCTGATCATTTCTGTAGTCGTTTCTAGGAATGAAAAATAAAGAGCCAGACTAAATTCTAATTTTCTACCAGGGGAAAGCATCAGACACTTCTTCAGGGTGCTGGTGACTGGCATCAGCTTGACAATTTCTATAAGAATGACACCATGCCTAATATATTTCTCTGCTCCTAGAAGGTGCTTACTAAATGTCTAATTTATCAGCTTTAAGACATACAAAGTTCCTAGAAGCCCTGCTATCACTAACTCTCTTAAAAATTTTTCCATCTAGAATAAGGACTCTAAACCACTGCGATATTTCAGGTCAGAGACTGCCATTCCAGCACTCTAAAAAGAAAAGTAGTATAGTGGAATAAGCAAGCAAACACTTTCATGTAAGAATTCTGGACCTGCCACTTACTATGCGATCTTGGAAAAGTTACTCAACATTTCTAACTCTGTAAAATGGCAAGTACATCTACCTCTGGGGTTGACAGAAGGACTAGAACGAAAGTATACAAAGACACTTCCACAGGATTTGCCACACAATAAGAAGTGTTTAATAGATGATAATTACTAATAGCTAACAATTATACAGTGATTACCATGGCCCCATGGCATGGCATGGTTACCATGGCAACCGTTGTAACATAATCTAATGCAACTCCACGAAGGAGATATCATTAGCCCCATTTTACAGATGAGAATACTGATGTTCCAAAGGGTTAAGTAACTTGCTTATCAAGCAGCTAATAAGTGGTGGAGCCAGGATTTGAAAGAAGACAGTCTGTCTCCAAACTCTGTGCTCTTAACTACATGCTTTACTAATTCTTGCTACCCTATATTGTCTCTGACACAGTAACTGAAGTTATTTTACATCACTGTTTATTCAACTTTTTTTGCCTCTATAGCTTTCACGTGCACAGCACACTCCCTTCAGTACCACCAGTGATTTTCATCTGGAAAAGGTGTAACAGAATCTCCAGAGAAACAACTGCAAGGTAGCACACGTGATTTGCTAAAAAAAAAGCACACTCCTATAAAAGCACACTCCTATAAAAGGTGTGCTCTCCCCTCACTTAGATTAAGAATCCCTGATTTACATACAGTTTCAAATCATCTCTCAATCTCAATTATCTTTAGCTATGAGAAAGAATACACACACATTTACCTACATTCATCCAAATATAAAGATCATGAATAAGAATTTCCAAAACAAATTTTAGGAATTGCTAAGCAGGAAACTAAACGGATCTTCTCCAACCTAACTGAAAGAGTTGACAATGGGAAACTCAAGTTCTAAAAAACTGGACAGGAAGAAAATGTGATGAAAAGGGCTCAGACTCTAAAATCTAAGAGCAGTGAGGTAGAAAGGTTAGCATGTACATTCTAATACTCACCTTCCTCCCATTTTGCCTCCATAGCCACCTCGGTCTCCTCCATAGCCGCCGCCACTCCTGTCTCCTCCGTAGCCTCCACTTCGGTCCCCACTGTAGCCACCACCACCACGGTCTCCTCCGTAGCCCCCCCCACTTCGCTCTCCTCCATAGCCGCCACCTCGGTCTCCTCCATAGCCACCACCACGGTCCCCCCCATAGCCACCTCCTCGGTCCCCCCCATAACCACCCCCACTTCTGTCCCCTCCGTAGCCACCGCTGCCACTTCTGTCTCCACCATAGCCCCCCCCACTTCGGTCTCCACCATAGCCGCCTCGGTCTCCACCTCTGCCCCCACGACCTCTGTAGCCCCTCTCTCCACCGTAGCCCCTCTCTCCACCGTAGCCTCTTCCCCGGAAATCTGCAAGGCAGAAATGCAAACTAGTAAGGCCAGCAGAATAATGGAAAGTCTCCTTAATGCCAGTCAGAAGATTAATAGCATGCAGATGCTGTTAAAGGCTGACCCACCTCCTCCTAAGGGACGAGAGTCCTCTGGTCTGGGCTCATTGCACTGATTGCAAGAATTCCTTCGAGCAAAGTTCATATTTCCACATGACCTGAGAAAGGAGGAAAATAAAATGCTCAATAGTTTCCAATGGATTCAGAACCCCCTCTTGTACCTTCCAACCCCAATCCCAACTCTTACATCTACCAAAATAAATGGTATACTTACGGATTAGGGCAAACCCAGTCCCCACTTTTGGGGTCTCCACCTCTCCCCTGAAAGCCTCCACGGCCTCTATATCCTCCACGGCCTGGGGGAAGTAAGGAGTGGGGAGGAATCAGTAGCAGACATTAACAAAGCAGAGGAAAACCATCAGACAAAAGAACTAAGAGCAAGTGTTCATCAATAACTGGGCAGCCCCCCCTCAAATTAACCCCTTACGGCAGGACTCCATGATTCTTTGATTTGGGGCTTTACTTATTTAGTCAATGCAGGAGATGTGGAAGAAGACCCCAAGGCACACATTAAAGTGCAAATAATGCACTAAAAAACTTCGAAGTCCACTTTCTATAATGCCCTCCTTAGTTTGAGAATCTCAGGGATAAAGGTTAAGTGAGAAGACATATTCCAAATTTAAGGAATTAGACACAACGGAAATGAAAGAGTTACAAGTAACTATCAACATATCAGGGAACTCCCAAACTGGTCAGATTAACTACCTAATTAGGTATCATTTAAACAACTACCTCCTTATGTCCAGGTGAATAACAAACTGCTTTATATAGCTTTCCAAAGAGATTTCTGGAACCTTCTTCCACCACTTTCTTAACTATTACGACACCTTATTTACCTAATCTCCTATTCTGTACCTCACTTTTAAGATAAAAGGAAAAAGACCGATAGGGAGAGAGAAGTAGTAGCAAGTTCACACAACAGGGACAGAACATGGACTCAAATCCAAACCTTCTGTGTAATACCCAGGCCTGTGAGCAATAAGTATTTTACCTCGTCGCCCACCTCCACTTCCACCTCCTCTCATGAATTCAGGTCTTCTGGTGGCAAAGGACACTTTAATGATGTTGCCATGGAATTCTTTTCCTAAAAAAAAAAAAGAAATGGTTTTGCAGAAATCCTATTCTACATCTCCACCTCTCAAAAATATAAAACTTACAAATTTTTAGTTTCAGAGGAATAACTGACATGTCCTCACAGAAATTCAAACACACTAGTGTTCCAAAGAGTCAAGGTAACTGTACTAGAACATGACACAATCTACTGAATAGAGCAGATCTGTCACAAGGAGACAGTCATTTCCTACTAAGCAAAAACAACAAAAAACAAAAAAAACAAAAAAAAAAACCATCTAAAATTTTACATGAAAAAAGCCAAGTACAGAACAATGTATGTAGTATGCTACCATTTCTTTTTTTTAAAGGGAATGAGTGTGTATGTGCATGCATGTGCACACATATGCCAGTCTATACACTGCCTATTGTGCTTAACTCTCAGTAGGTGAAAAGGTGGAAAGGAAACTCATTTTTTACTATATACTCTTGGTACCGTTTGAAATGTTTTTTACCTTAGACAAGTAGTATCTTTAAAAATAATGTGTGCAGGGCTTCCCGGGTGGCACAGTGGTTGAGAGTCCACCTGCCGATGCAGGGGACACGGGTTCGTGCCCCGGTCCGGGAAGATCCCACATGCCGCGGAGCGGCTGGGCCCGTGAGCCATGGCTGCTGAGCCTGCGCGTCCAGAGCCTGTGCTCCACAACGGGAGAGGCCACAACAGTGAGAGGCCCGCGTACCGCAAAAAAAAAAAAAAAGTGTGCATATGTGATTACTTATATACATGCATACATACACATATTCTGCTGTCCCAGGGCCTTAGAGACAGAAATTTTCACTTTATATTAAATAAGAGAACTGACATATAAGGAAAAGGTGCCCAAGGAGTCATAAAATAGTTATAAATCCAGGAGTCTTAGCACTCTCACCAAAGTCCTAATTGTTGTGACTGGCAACCTTCCACAATGTCAGATGGTATGACAAGCACTTTTAAATAGGAAACCCATGGATAAGTATTTTAAAAGCTGTAAAAAGACCTGGTGAGAGCCGAACTATGGAGTTACTGTTAAGAGGCTCATTTGCCCTATGGGGGAAAGGCACAATAATTTTTTAACATATCATAAGCTATGATAGTTTTATGATTCACAGAAACTATGACACAAGCAGAAAAGTGAGGGAGAATGGACCTAGCCTTCAAGAGCAAGGTGATGGGGCCTGATTAGGGAAAAAAAGTAAAGAAAATGGAGGTGAAGACAGAGTTATCATAACCTCATCTGTGAAGAAGTAAAGAAATGCAATTATGTCTTGCAAGACACAGGTGCAATAATCTTGGAACTGGAAGGGACCACAAGTGCCTGTCAATCCAGCATAGTTTAGCACTTCACAAACAATGGTGCTAGACTGCCTGAGTTTAAGTCCTGACCCTGCCACTTATTCTGTGGTCTTGGAAATTATTTATCTTCTCTGTGCCTGAGTTTCATCATCTGTAAAATGGTAATAAAAGGGTACATCTTATAGGGTTACTGTGAAGATCAAACTGAGTTAATCCACATAAAGTTCTTAGAACCATGCCTAGCTCATAAACCACAGTAAACATGCAGTAAGTGTTAGTTATTATTAAATTAGGGTACAAAAAAAAACAGGGAATTTATAATAACATGGGGAAATGACTATGTTAAGACGCTAAGTGAAAAAAAGCATGAGACAAAACTACATTTGGAGTATAATGATAAACTATTTTAAAAAACTGGAAGGAAGGGGCTTCCCTGGTGGCGCAGTGGTTGAGAATCCTCCTGCCAATGCAGGGGACACGGGTTCAAGCCCTGGTCCAGGAAGATCCCACATGCCGCGGAGCAACTAAGCCCGTGCACCACAACTACTGGAGCCTGTGCTCTAGAGCCCACGAGCCACAACTACTGAGCTCGCCTGCCACAACTACTAAAGCCAACGTGCCTAGAGCCCGTGCTCCACAACAAGAGAAGCCACCACAATGAGAAGCCCGTACACCACAACGAAGAGTAGCCCCCGCTCGCTGCAACTAGAGAAAAAAAGCCCGCGCACAGCAACAAAGACCCAACACAGCCAAAAATTAATTAATTTATTTATTTATTTATTTTAAAAAAACTAACTGGAAGGAAAAGTTAATACCAGTAGTTGTCTCTATGTAGAGAACTATGGATGCTTTACTCCTTTCTTCTACTCTCCCATATTTTCTTATTTTCAGGGGGAAAAAAAGTCTTACTGTTTCTTCTAAGTATGTATTAAGATTATATTTTAAGGGAAATTAACCTAAATTTAAAAAGAATATAGTCAACCAGGCCAACCCTCTACATCTCTATCAGGGTGGCCTTAAGCACAAAGCATGACATAAGGAAATATTTTAGACAGAGTTCATCTCATTTCTAAAGGTATGTAAAAACTCTGGCCTGTATTCTCAATAGAATATCTAAAAAAGTAAACATGAAGATAATCACCGTCTACGAGAACATATTTTGACTTCAATACTAGAAAACATTTATCCAAACCACACGTTGAAACGGTATGAATGAGGGACTTCCCTGGTGGCGCAATGGATAAGACTCTGCACTCCCAATGCAGGGGGCCCGGGTTCAATCCCTGGTCAGGGAACTAGATCCCACATGCATGCCGCAACTAAGGAGCCCACGTGCCGCAACTAAGGAGCCTGCCTGCTTCAACTAAGGAGCCGGCAAGTCCAACTAAGGAGCCCGCCTGCCACAACCAAGAGCCAGCACAACCAAATAAATAAATTAAAAAAAAAAGAAACTATATGAATGAGGTATACCATCAAACCAGTCAATGGCTGCCTTAGCTGAAGGAGGGTCATCAAATGATACTGTTGCCTCCCCTTTTGGCTTTCCTGTGTCCTTGTCTGTGTACAGATTTATCATTGGTTTTCCAGTCTTCTTATTTGTCTGAAGAACAAACAAGTGGGTGTCAGTATTTTAAGAAAAAGTGATCATGAACCACATAGATAATTAAAATTGTATTTTTAAAGGAATTTACATATCCATACAATAAATACTATCAACTTAACATAAAAATGAAGTTATCTGTAGGTTCTGAAAAGGAAAACTCTCTAAAATACATTAAGTGAAAAACAAACTAAAAAAATGATACACAGTATATACTGTTTTATCCATGTATAATTTCTTTAAACCCACAAAAAAAGAAAACATAGATGCTTCATATAAATATATACCTTGTGAAACTTAAAAAAAAAAAAAAGACCAGGAAGAATGTTCACCAAGCAAATAAATAAATTACCATTAAGGCATACACACTGGATTTTGCTGAGAAGGGAGTGGAAGACAAGAACTGTGTGAATTTTTTACATATTTCATGTGTAATTAATAATTTCTTAAGAAATTTTTACTCTCCAAGAAGGAGAAAAAAAAGTAATTCCACGGACACCAAAACAAGAGCAACTGCAAACTGATATCAGGCAAATGCTTCAATCTACTAACACTAATCTAAATGCTTTCTAGTTGGAGATGAAAATATATGCATGAAACAAGCAGTGCATGAGACACTTAAGTACAATAAAGTTATGAAATAAAGCATTATTATATTGGGCAAATATATAGCAGACATTAAATACCAACATAAAAAGTTATTAGTAATAACTTGGGTTTTCATATGTTGGCATTTCAGAATATAAAAATGTTTTCACAATTTCATTTGGTTCTCACAATTTTAGGAGCTAGGCAGAGACTATGTTTAGAGTCCTAAGATTGAAAGCCAAAGCCGTGGAAGGCTGTGGAAAGGTACACACAAGCGAGGAATAAAATCTTCATGTACTTTAGCAAACTTAGCAAAGGCCTACAGACATGGGTGAGCATGTGCATCAGGGAACTTTAAGAGACAAGCCTTACTGGAGTATGGGCTTATTATGTAACCTATGTATCTTAACCAGAATATGTTGATAATTATGAGATTTTCAACATAAGCCAATTTTTTACTCACCTTGATAATTCCTATTTGTTTAAAGAACTCCCCCACTTGATCTGTAGACACACCCTCCCCAAGTCCTTGTACAAAGATTGTGTTGTTATCTGAATTATCAGATTCTGAATCTATGGGGGAAAAAAAAACCATGATTAATTTTACATATTCCTTAGGTTTACTACATCCTATTTAGTAATCAAGAATAATAATTTATTATTCAATATTCAACTATTTCTGTGACCAAAAGGAAAAAGGACCAATATACGAAACCTCTTAGATAAACATGCAAAGTGGTCATAACAGTTATTTGGTAGGTCAATTCTCACAACTAAACTTCAGGTAAAGTGGATCAAGTCCACACTATATCAAATACATAGACCAATTAAGGGAAATCTTACAAATCTCACTCTTCAGATTCAGATACAGGACTCAAGCTCAGGAAGAGATGAAGAAAGTTAGTATAAAGTAGCATTCCTTTCTTTGGGAGTTTTAATTCTTTCTGGCTAATCAATACTTTTAAAGCTTTCTAGTAGAAAATTGCCCAAATCTGACACTTTGAGCTTCCAAGCAAGCCAAGCAGAATTGCTGGTTTCCCATTCATTGCAATAAGCTTTATATATACCAGAGAGTAGGGGCACCTTGACACACACCTTACCTTACATGCACACTTTTGGATTAGTATAACAAAATAAGAAAGATGCACATAAATTCAGTCCATCAAGGGATAATTCAGAAATTGCCATCCATATAGAATACTTTAGCATCTTAATAAAAACAAAAGTTCTGATTTCAATATATACAACTACTGAGCCTGCGCTCTAGAGCCCGCGAGTCACAACTACTGAGCCCGTGCGCCACAACTACTGAAGCCCACACACCTAGAGCCCGTGCTCCACAACAAGAGAAGCCACTGTAATGAGAGGCCCGCGCACCGCAACGAAGAGTAGCCCCTGCTCACCGCAACTAGAGAAGGCCAGCGCACAGCAACGAAGACCCAATGCAACCAAAAATAAATAATAAATTAAAATTAATTAATTAAAAAAAAAATTTTGGCTCAAATAGATTTTTAATCTCTACATAACTTTCAAAAGGCTCCAGGCAGCCTTGAATTTCATTTGAAAATATAAAGGTACATGAAATTAGTGACCTCTGAGGACTTCCCTGGTGGCACACTGGTTAAGAATCTGCCTGCCAATGCAGGGAACACGGGTTCGATCCCTGGTCCGGGAAGATCCCACATGCCGTGGAGCAACTAAGCCTATGCGCCACAACTACTGAGCCTGCGCTCTAGAGCCCGAGCCACAACTACTGAGCCCACGTGCCGCAACTACTGAAGCCCGCGCACCTAGAGCCCCTGCTCCGCAACAAGAGAAGGCACTGCAATGAGAAGCCCGTGCACTGCAACAATGAGTAGCCCCCGCTCGCCACAGCTAGAGAAAGCCCACGCGCAGCAACCAAGACCCAACACAGCCAAAAAAAACACAAAAAAACAAAAAGAAAGGCACATGTAGAAAGAAAGATGTTTTGTAAAAAAGAAAAAAAAAAGAAAAGAAAGGAAAAGAAATTAGTGACCTCTGCCCAGAGTAAGACAATTCTCTCATATATGAATTCAGGTTTCTTAGGCCCACTGACCAGACTATCAATCCACTGTAATATTTTCTTAAACACAGCTATTCTAATTCCCCAATCATACCAATTCTCTCATACTTGATTTGCAGTAATTAAACAAATAATGCTAATTAGCAGTACAAAATCAAGTATTTCTTCACAAAAGAAAAAGTAGAGAGCATGGGAAAGCACAAACATAGTAATTTTTCCTAGCAAACTTTCCAATCAATCCCCCTGAACTTTTCTTGCTGGTACATCTTTAGAAGTGAAGCTCCCTGGTTCTGGCAGCATTATCAAATCAAATCTTCTTCCTGTACTAACTCCTCCAAACACACACACTTTTCCTTTGAAAAAATGGAAAACTAACATTCTCTTAATGGCAGAGTCACAAACTACCATAAACCTTACCAGCATCTGGTCTGGGTCCATAATCCCTGTGACCTAAGGGAAAAGAAAAAGAAAAAGAAAAAGAAAGCTATTTAAGGCAACTCATAAGAAATCATTTAAAAACAGTAATAATAACCAAGGCATGAAAAGTCAATACTTCCAAAATCCTTGTAAGTAACCATCACAGATTTACAAAGTAAGTATATAAATTAAGTTTTATTAAAAGTTTAAGAAATCAAGATGAATGTCAATATTCCCTTAAACTTGTCCCAGACGGCACCAGCCACTTTGGCATTACGCTAGTATCACTTTTGTTAAGCTCTGGTTGTGAAGGCTGATTGGAAAACCGTAATAATTTAAAAACACCATGTCAGCTACCTTTATTAAAAAACATATTGACAAAATCCAGTGAACGTCTCATTCATTGGTCACCAGACTCTTTCATGCAAATTCACTGTGTAGAAACCCATTGGACTGTTTGAGATCAACTTTGTCTTTTTAATATTTTGAGATATATATATGCATATATATAATTTTTTTTTTAAGCACACAACACACACCAGCCTCAACAGAGTAAGAAAGGGCTTAGACTACGTCTGCGGGATATTGGTGGCTTTTAGGTTTATATAGCATTTCCACTGAAACATTTTGGGATACTCAGCACTTACCACCAAAATTTTTGAAGCCACCGCGGTCACCACCACTGCAGAGGAAAAATTGAAGAAATGATTTCTTCCTTAGGTCTCTAATGTGCTGAGCCCTGGGCTCAATCTATACTTAACTGTCACAAGTAGAGCGCCCAGGAAAACAGTAGCACCTCTAACTTTCCAGTAAATTTCATTTCATAGACTTCAAAATGTTGTTTTCACCTAAATGTTTCCCCAAGGATCTATTTCCACAAGGGTGCCTTTTCAAGCTTATTACAGAACATACCTAATATACTCTTATTTTAAAATTTTCCCAACCCCAAGCCAAAGGGATAATATTCAAATCCACTTAAACTGGAGGCACAAGAGGAAGAATGCTAAACATTCTTTCCAAGGGGAAAGAAATCATTTAAAAACAGTAATAATAACCAAGGCATGAAAAGTCAATGGGACAAAGTGAGAGAGTGGTGTGTACATATATACACTACCAAATGTAAAACCGGAAAGAAAAAAAAAATGTAAAACCGATAGCTAGTGGGAAGCAGCCACATAGCACAGGGAGATCAGCTCGGTGCTTTGTGACCACCTAGAGGGGTGGGATAGGGAGGCTGGGAGGGAGGGAGATGCAAGAGGGAAGAGATATGGGGATATATGTATAGCTGATGCACTTTGTTATAAAGCAGAAACTAACATACCATTGTGAAGTAATTATACTCCAATAAAGATGTTAAAAAAAATTTTTCCAAAGTCCTTGTAACCATCACAGATTCACAAAGTAAGTTTTATTAAAAGTTTAAGAATTCAAGATGAATATCAATATTCCCTTAAAGGGAAATATTTTTGTTATAGGGGATATTTTTGTTAAATATGAGAAAAAGACTAGGAGAAAAATATAAAGCAAGATTAAAATTTTGATAGCAGAATGGGAGAGGTAAAAACTTGAGCACTACGTTCTACTGTGATACCAAACGGTGGGTTTTATGAGATGAAGAAAAAAGTGAGGTACAAATATACACAAAAGTGAGACTGAATGAAAGCGGTTTTAAAAATTCAAATCATTCAGATATCTGGTAAAATGAGCACTAAAAGAAAGCATAACTTTAAACTGCCCTCCTATTCCATGCCCACTGCAACATGCTAGCTCTCTTCACAGCAGAGCTACTGACATTCATGCTGCCAAATGCTCTTGTACACCAATCAGTAGACCATATCAGAGACAGAATGCTACATACTCCACAAGAAAATGACTTTATTTGGCAATTTCCACTGCCAGGTAAGTCAATGGCCCTTGTGTGCATAGCTTTATGTAAGAAATCTAAGATCTCTCTTATCAAGAAACTCTTTAAATGCTCATACATTGAAAGCTTGTTTCTCTTAACTGAATTATGTAATCCTCTAAGATTCATGTGCTGACATGGATACAAAAACACCCAAAGTTTTCAGATGGTGATATCTAATTTTCTACTACTACTAATCTTCTACTATAACCCAAGAAACTAATCCAATATACTAATGTCTCTTCACTGCTTAAAAGCCTCTGCTTTAGTAATAACCCTGCCCTCTAGATGGCTTTTCTTGAGCCATCCTGAGAAAAACCACTCTGACTAAATGAGAAAGAATTTTTTCTTTAGAAGTCTATTCTACTACCTTGACGTAAAAAAAAAATTCCCTTGCAACTAGCATAGGTATGGACACACGCAACTTAACTCGCCATTAATTTTTATTTGATGCCCAAGAAATCTAAAAAGGAGAATAACAATATTTCAAGGCTATGCAGACAAAGCAAAGCTCAGGTCTTTCATATATATAGTTTCCGATTGAGTGTCTAAGACCTCTCTTTCAGAACATCACCCAAGCCCTCCCACCAACCCATACTTCTAAATGGCCTATATATCATAGCTTAACTCTTTAAGGGAAGGAAGCCAAACAGAGTTCTGAGATTAAATTGCTGAAAATCTTATTAGAAACAAGATATCTCAGGTTTCTTCAAAGATGATCATTAGAATTCTAAAAATGATGAAAAAAGAGCTAGTGAAAATATTAAATCGGGCTTCCCTGATGGTGCAGTGGTTAAGAATCCGCCTGCTAATGCAGGGGACAGGGGGTTCGAGCCCTGGTCCAGGAAGATCCTCTGTGCTGCGGAGCAACTAAGCCTGTGTGCTACAACTACTGAGCCTGCGCTCTAGAACCTGCGAGCCACAACTACTGAAGCCCACACACCTAGAGCCCGTTCTCCGCAACAAGAGAAGCCACCGCAGTGAGAAGCCCGCGCACCTCAACGAAGAGTAACCCCCACTCGCTGCAACTAGAGAAAGCCCGTGTGCAGCAACAAAGACCCCATGCAGCCAAAAATAAATAAATTTTTTTTTAAAAAAGAATATATTAAACCCACATTCCTATGTCAGGACGTTAAAGTACCCAGGATAAAGTATTTTTTTAAAATAGGATATTTGCACAATTAAGTGCTGGAAGAGGCACCACTTAATTATTCTGCTGCCAACTTAACCAAGTACCAAATTGTTTATCTGACCACAATGGAGGGAAAATATGCAATTTCATATATCAAGTAGTTCCTAAAATTTCTATTCTGGCCAGCAATATAACTTTGAACAATTTTTTAAAAAAGGACATACCCCTGGTAAAGTATAAAGGATATAAAACAAATGACACTTGAATACGTTTATAAGTTTCTATTCCTCCATACAATGGCATTTTAACTTAAGTCATCATTACTGAGCATTTCCTTTGAAAATTCAGCAGCTGAACACTTCAAACACAATGGCCGTAAATATGGAAACACCCATAAGTACATTCGAAAAAGTACTAGTCTTCAAAGTAGGAGTCTCAGGGTATAGTCTTAACTATCACTAATCAATCTTGAAAATTTGGACAAGTCAGTAATTCTCCCTAGGCTTCAGTTTCCTCCTTCGCAAAATAATGGTCTACACCCTTACTACCTGAAAGGTGGTCTATGGAATAGCAGCAAAGGCAGAGCCTGGGAGTATCTCAGAAAAGCAAGCTCATCCCAGACCTACTAAATCAGAATCTGCATTTTAGTAAGATCCCCAAGGAGTTCATATGTACATTACAGTTAGAGAAGCACTGGTCTAGATGACCTATAATTTTATGTGAGGCTTTCTTTCAAGTTCCAATGTTTCAGTCGCTTTTCTCTTTCCTTATTAAGAAATTTCATATTAATTAATTATAGTTCCTTACTAGGAAATTTATTATATTAAACACAGTAAATAAACCTCAAATAGTACCACTATTAAATCAGTTAACAGAAGATGGGCCTGTGGTTAAGAATCTTTCTTCAAATCTGCAGTCAAGTTACATGTCCCTTTTCCATAAACTAAGTTAAGGCCCCACTAGCAAATTAAGACACAAAGGCATGTGAACATCTGAGTCAAGATGTTGCCACAACAAATTTGTTTCCCTCCCAGAAAAAGAAACAAACTTGTACACATAAAGAATTTCTGAAGTAAGGACATTTTAATGTAAGGAAGTAGAGGCATTTACTAGAGACATAATATAAGAATACTCAAAATTTATGGCTGAGTGCCCCCTGCATAGGAAAATCAATTATGTATTCTTGACTCAACTACAGAAATCGTTGTCCCAAGTTCAAAACCACAATGAGCAGCCTACTCTAGGGTAGACTCTGAGGGTTCTTTCACTGTTACAGCATTACATATTTAGAGACGACAGTCAGATTTAATTTCAGGTGCTTCTCAAGAAAGAAAATATACTTTGACAGAATCTCTATTCCCAAAATTTAATTTTTAAAAATCCAAATATATCTATATTCAAGGACTAAAACTGCCAAGAAGTAAAAGGACAATATAGGAATCTTTATTCCCAGAAAATTCAATACAGAGAGAAAAAGGAACTTAGCGAAATACTGAAAAAGATTAGTTTTTTAAAAACTGTTCTGTGTTTGATTTTTCATACTAGTAATTTACCAACATTTCAGAAGGCCAAGAATCTACCATTCTAGAGCTGCACTATCCGATACAACATTTACTAGCCATATGTGACTGCTGACCTTTTGAAATATGGAGAGTCTAAATTGAGATGTACTCTAAATGTAAAATACAAAATGGATTTCAAAGTCTTAGTATAAAAAAAAGAATGTGCATTATCTCAATAATTTTTATACTGATTACATATTTGTGATGTTAAATAGATTAATAGATTAAATAAAATAGATTAAATAAAATATATTATCAAAATTAACTTCAGCTGTTTATTTTTCTTAATGTGGCTATTAGAAAATTTTATATTACACATATGGCTCACAGTTGACCCACATTATATTTATATTGGGCAGCACTGGCGGGACTATCACCAGCACACATGCACATTTTTAAGAGAGCTATTCAAAAACTCTTATAAGGGCTTCCCTGGTGGCGCAGTGGTTGAGAGTCCGCCTGCCGATGCAGGGGACACGAATTTGAGCCCCGGTCTGGGAAGATCCCACATGCCGCGGAGCGGCTGGGCCCGTGAGCCACGGCCGCTGAGCCTGCGCTCCACAACGGGAGAGGCCGCAGCGGTGAGAGGCCCGCGCACCGCAAAAACAAAAAAACTCTTATAAGAAGACATTCAAAATTTAAAATAACTTTTTTGAGATTTGAGATATTAAAGCCTAAAAAATCTACTTAACTTGATGACATGCTAATAATGGAAAATGGTTATCTATAAAGTTCTAGTAATTTTGCAATGCATTCAGCATAATGCTAAAGTTAAAAACACTGAGAAAATTTATGGCCTTAAGCTTCTAGTCCAGTAGGAGGCCACTGATCTATTTTAGATAACAATTAGAAATTCAATCTTTTTTGCTGCAACTGCTTTTTCAAAGAAAAACACTGTTTCCTATAGTCCCTATAGTCTTCACGTTTCTCTTCCAAAATTGGAAAGCTGACAGCTTCCTTTGGTCTGAATTCTTCCTACAGTCAAGCAATCATACAACTTGAGTCTAAGAATGTCATATCCTTTACCACACATCCCACCTTCACCTGCAAACTGTGCCCCTTCTTTAATTATAAACCCAACTAATGCCAAATATTCTTCAAACAGCCCTGAAAGGATCATATTTTCAACCTTGCTATTTTTAAGTAAGATGATTACAAACACAAATGGGAGTGTTGATGAAGACTAACAAAAAATGTTTGGGTATTTCTGGTACTTAAATGCAAAACCAAGTGTAAGGGGAAAAAAAGCCCTGAAACTGGGCTTTTTTTTTTTTTTAATTTGAAACACTTCACCCCTGTAAATAAGCTAAAAATCACATCCTGAACAAGATATTGTGGCACATGAAAATTATATGAACTTCGTATTTCAGTAACCATAAATGAAGTTTTATTGGAACACAACCATGTTTATTCATTTATACAGGAGCAGAGCTGAGCAGTTGCAAAAGAAACCACATGGCCTGCAAAGCCTTAATTATTTACTATGTGGCCTTTCACATAAAAAGTTTGCCCATCCAATATAGAGAGTAAGTATAATCATCCACATAAATTTCTTAAAAAGGCCTTTCATGCACATTCCATTTACTGGCTAAGGGGGTGGGGTGGGGGGAGGGAGGGAGTATACAGACAGCAACTGGGTAAGACCTCTCCCCCAAAAACCCTACCCTGACGTGAACCAGATCACCATCATTTTGACCTAATACATCCTGGGCTTCTACACAAGATTTTGTTTGAAGAGGTTCTAAAGTTAAATAAAAAGATTTGAAACTCAAAAACTTAGTTCATGATTCAGTACCTGGGCCAAAAATTATACTGAAATGTTGCCAAAGAGGTTTATCGAAGTGCTTAAAACTGGTATGTCCAGGGTTGGTTAAGATACAGATCTTCCCTCTTTTAGCAGGAGGATCACTCAAGGTCCTTTCAACTCTGATTCTAAGATAAGTCATCTCTCAAAAACGAAAACATACTTTTAAAGACTTCCCTACCCTCCTCCTCCTGAAAAGTGGGGTTCTACCATTCTCAGTCAGACACTGTCATAGTTTCAGAGATAATCTATAGATATAATTATAACTTCCTTATGAAGAAAATTAAACCTATGATATGCTGTAAAACATACAGCATCCCAAGGCAGCCAATTATCTACAACATATTAACCAGAAAATCACATATACCTGTTAGTTATCTTGTTTGGGATTCTGTTTGAGGGAGCGAGGCTACTAGGTAGAGAGTAAGCACCACACCACTCTATGTTGTTCACTTACATCCACATGATGATGAAGAGGCATACAATATACTTGTTTTACCTTAATAAATTGACTTCAGCTATCAATCAAAAGACATTTAATGTTCAAGTCTTATAAAAATTTATCAAATATGTTTAGGCTTTAGATTTGCCAGACCAAAGCACTATACACTAAACAGAGAGAAAGTCAATGAGATCAAATTCCTGGCTCACTTGAAAAATTAACAGTGCTGTATGTAACTGATTTTCTCAGGTCACCTCAGGGAACAAACAGTCCCTAAGAAGCAAAAGAGTGACCTGGTATTGATATAATATTGTCAGTTAACAGGCTGACAATTTCAATTCCCAAGGAACACACATTATCTTTTAAGCCTGTATATTTTACACACGAGATGTGCAACCTACAAACCTCATCTGAGGACAATAAATGTCAATTACTTTTTCGTTCCTATTTTTAGAGCAAAAGCGCTAGACTTACACATACATTTGAAAGTAATTTTAAAGCCACCTTTCATAACATATGCCATAAATACCAAAACCTGACAACACTAACAATGGAGAAAAGGAAAGCTGAATTAAAAAGTCATTCCTTTTCCACAGCTTAGTCTAGACAAAATATGCAACGGTATGTGACATTGCACTAATTATCTCAATAACTGTTTACTTAAGAATGGGGACAAAATAATTCAGTTACATAAAATCTTTCTCTCATTTGCCAACCCCAAATTTATAATCTGCTATTGCCTCCTAATATTTTCCCTTCCCAAGGGGATTCAAGATTAAAGAACAGCCTCTCCACCTTCCAATCTAGAATTAACTTACCTTGTATTTTCTACATATAAAACACTTGGATTTCCCAGAGTCATCTTTTAAAGGAGTTTAGAGTCAATAGTTCTGGCAGGAAAAACATAGTTAAGTGGTTTAACCACACCATAGTAGGGGACTTTTCTCCATTGGTATTTAATATATACCACATAAACTAACGGCTAACAAAGCCTATTTTGAGGTAATTTATGTGACATCTTAAGACTGAAAATAAATTTTGAATTTCTGTCCTCTTCTCTACAACATAATCTCTTTTATAGGCCTCTTAACTAAATCAGATGATGGAATCGAACCAGCTAAGTAACAACAACAACAAAAAAAGAGAGAGAGAAGAAATGTAGACATCTGTACCTAAAAACTTACCTTGATCCTGTCATAGGACCTCTTCCATCCTTGTCATATCCCCCACGCCCTCTACCTCCTCCCTGTGACCCGCCATATCCTCTATTATCTTCTCCATACCTACTCACATCACGACGGTCATCTACAAAAAAGAAAATTAATACATACATACATAAACAACTTGAAATTTCTGACAAAGGCTTTCCACAACATAATATTAAATAGCTCTTTAGGTCACCTGTGACCTTCAGAAAATGGCACATGTGCACAAAACTCAAATGCAAGTCATCAGAACACCATCTGGAATTAAATGTATGAGACTTATATGTGTGTCAAATTCCATTCTACCAAAGTCAGAAAGCAAAATGGTGATGTGGATATCACCATTTGATGTGATGATAATATGGAGTAGTTTGAGTAAAGTACATTAGGTACAGAACTCTAATAAATTAAAAGAATACCCTGATCTTAGGGACTTCCCTGGTGGCGCAGTGGTTAAGGCTCACGCTCCCAATGCAGGGGGCCCGGGTTCGATCCCTGGTTGGGGAACTAGATCCCACATGCATGCCGCAACCAGGAGTTCACATGCCACAACTAGGGAGCTGGCAAGCCACAACTGGGGAGCCCACCTACCACAACTAAGGAGCCCACAAGCTGCAACTAAGACCTGGTACAAACAAATCAATCAATCAATCAATAAATACTTTAAAAGAATACGCTAATCTTAAAAGTTATTTTTCATGTCGAAAATATTTCAGTGTAAATCAAACACAGACAAGGAATAACTAGATTTTCAAACTGAGAGATATTCAGTGAATATATTCAATGAAGAAGATATTCAGTGAATGAGCTTCCACTCTTACTCATTCACTTGTTCATTCATTCAACTATCCAACAAATATTTATGGAGCAGGTATAAAAATGAGTAAGGCAGGACCTTTGCCCTTGAAGCATTCATTTTTATGGCTGATCAGGTTCCTAAATATCATGATATATATAAAATGATATACATAAAAGAAAGAATGACTGGTCCTTCTTAGTTGAGGTTAGAGAAGGCTAATATAGGATCATAATTTCCTCAAATCACATACAGCACCAGTACCAAGATAACTGGTAGCATGGACTTCCCTGGAGGTCCAGTGGTTAAGACTCCGTGCTTCCACTGCAGGGGGCACAGGTTCGATCCCTGGTCAGAGAACTAAGATCCCACATGACACACGGTGCGGCCAAAAAATAAAAAATGTTTAAAAATTAAATTAAATTATAAAAAAGAACTGGTAGCAGCAGTATTCATTGTTAAATGATCAGCTGACTGAGACAACAAAGGAAATTCAAAAACTCAGCCAGCAAAAAAATCACGTGACCATCTGGAGTCTCCAAGAAGTTCAGAAATATCAATCTAATAAACTAGTTTTGATGGACATGAGACAGAACATATGTTCAGGGTGACTCTAAATTCTTACAAACAGTTGAAATCCTCTGTGGGTCTTTTAATACAGAATTCAATACACAATTCTATGAAGGGAAAAAAGGAAAAATAATAGAGGTCAGCATATCTTACCTTGTGTGTGGTGGCTGTAATTTTCCCTTTGTGAATGGTAGGATTGCTGGTTTTGATTATAGGAATCATGCTGCTGATCATAATTTGACTGCTCGGCATAAGAGCCATGATGTTGATCATAGCCTGACTGCTGGTCATATGAATCTTGATGACCATAGTCTGACTGGTCATATGAAGGCACTCTTCCACCTTGGCTAAACAGAAATCAAGAACTTGAGCGATTTTACAGAAGGACTGTTTACTGCAGCAGGCTGACTGAGACTGATTGCTATAAGAGGCCTGCCCAGCTAGACCTCATCCACATTTACTACCCTTTTCTGGTAGGAATCATTTAGCTCTTTTATCTACAGAATCTTATCACCAATGGAATGACTTTCAAACAACAGTTCTACTATCACTGAAGAGGTGTCACATCATGAGAAAAAACACACACACCTTTGAAAACTGTAGAGAAGCAAGAAAATCACTATGGTTTTTATCATCTTGAATTACAAAAAAATTAAAGATGACATAAAGTACAGTAATATGTCTGACTCTTTAACAAACATGACACAGCAAGTGCTGACTCCTTTTAATAGTTACACTAAAAGGCTCTATCTCAGTTTTAACAACAATATTATTTAATAATATTTTGGGGACTATTTTCTTATCTTTAGAACCTTACCTTTAGTACATTCTTCTAAGTATCTTCAATAATAGTAAATTTTAGAAAATAGCAATAAATCATTCAAAGTTTTAATCTGCTGAGTAAGAGGAAGGAACTTGCTTTGTGATGCCATTTTTTAACTGAAACAAAGTCTAACTACCAAATGAGACTGCTTTATTTTCTCTTGCAATTCAAAAAGAAAATTCTAAGTATGTTCTGAGCAATATGACTATTAATTACCTACTCTCAGGATGGGAATGTTGAAAGAAACACTTAATTGGATTTGAGTTCTAATGTTTACTCAAAAAAAAAAGGTGGGGGGGGACAAAAATGGCCTCAACTTAATAGTCACATCTTACTCTGCATCAAATGAGCAAAACAATCTAGGGAAAAAAAAAAAAACAATCTAGAGGCTTCCCTGGTGGCGCTGTGGTTGAGAGTCTGCCTGCCGATGCAGGGGACACGGGTTCGAGCCCTGGTCTGGGAAGATCCCACATGCCGCGGAGCAATTAAGCCTGTGAGCCACAACTACTGAGCCTGCGCGTCTGGAGCCTGTGCTCCGCAACAAGAGAGGCCGCGATAGTGAGAGGCCCGCACACCGCGATGAAGAGTGGCCCCCGCTTGCCACAACTAGAGAAATCCCTCGCAAAAAAACGAAGACCCAACACAGACATTAATTAATTAATTAATTAAAAAAAAAAAAAAAACAATCTAATAAAGGTCGATTCCCCAACTCCCTACCCAAAGCACATCACAAAGGTCAGAACCCTAGACCTTCACTTTAGAATGACTGACTGTCAAACCAAATCTAACATTTCTCTTTGGTCCACATTTATACATCACATTACCAAAAATGCATCCTTATGAAAAGATTCTCCTTAAATTTAAAACTAACCAGGCTTGAAGAGCCTTCTAATGTAACACGCTTTCTGGATAGTATTCCCTACATTTGTACTTTGTAAAGCACAGTAAAAAGTAAGTTGCTATTACTAAAATTAATAACAAGTACAGGCTCCTCAAATCAGAAAATTTTAAAAAAATATATAAGACCTGTAAAATTGCTAATATTCACCTACCTATATTAACAATTAAAACATTTTTTAGGGTATTTGAAATACGTGCATAGGTTTTGGCACTTTTTTCTTTAATATTTTTGCCCCTGAAAAGGACATTAAATACATTAAAATGGTTAAAAAATAAACTGGAAATGAAAAGTAAGCATTGATAAGTCTCCTTTTATAGGCAGGTTTTTATTTCATCTCAGGTATAAAGCAGAGGTTCAAATTTTACATTTTAACATTTAAATCATGTGTATTCACTTACAGCTAAACTAATTGTACAAATAACACATCATAAGAATCAAATATCAATATTGACAATCTCCACATTCTTTATAATACAAAACTGTGAAATTCATACACCATCAACACTTTTCTGGGGAAAAAAAAAAAAAAGTTTAAAGCTAGGACTTTGTTAGTGAAAGCTGTTTAATACCCAAAGTGTTATTTCCACTTCCCAACACCTCAGTACTTTCACTGTTTCCTTACCCTCCTGATGATTCCATGTTTTGCTGTGCCTGGTTATTATAAGATTGCTGGCCATATGAGCTCTGCTTTTGATTCTCATAGCCACCATAGGACTGTGAATAACCTAAAGATTGAACAGATATACCATTTAGGAAAGGTTCTGATTTTAAATTCCTAAAACAGCAAATTTAACAAATCAGTCCAACCTGATTGGCTTTGTCCGTAACAGGAGTAGCCGCCATAGTTCTGCCCATATGAAGAATCAGTAGTTTGCCCATAGCCAGAATAGCTCTGAAATTTAGGTAAATACAAGTTTCATTGCATATTTAAGATTAAAACTATTTATAAAGAACTCAATTTATATTTAACCTACTTGTGGTGCTTGTCCATAACCTTGGCTGCCTTGATTTCCATAGGAAGAATAACTGTAAAAGAAAAGTGTACTACTTGAAAGAAATGTGCTAGAATTTAAAAGCTTAAATTAACCCTATCTTCATTTTCAACTTTCAACTCAAATACAAGCTTCTTTCCTGAGAAACTGTTGATCTAACTACCTCTTCGAGTCTAAACTGAAAGGTGATAACCAAAGACTGTCAAAGACATAAATAAAATCATTCCCAGACCTCTTAAATGCCAAACACACACCAGAAGTTTTGCTTTGACAATCTCCCACAAATAAACAAAACTTCACCAGAGCTAGAAAATTCCAACAGAATTATGCTTGGATGGGTGGGAGGCTGGGGGTGGAGGGGAGTGACTACATGGTAGCAAGACCCATAATAAATATCTGAAGCAGAAAAATAATGACTCTTTAAGTTAGAGCTTTAATCAATTTAGCTGTGCTGTGACAGATTAATTTCTTCCTACCATTTGCCTTAAATTTGCCTCTAACATCCTAGAAAATGCACAGTGTGGCACTAACCATCCAATTGTTAGTGCCTCAGTAATGAAAGGCATGTATATCTTCAGAATACTATCATAGAACGAAAGTATATTGTATCTCCAGTGTCATAGCATAGGACGGCATAGTTTGTTGGCTGAATGAATGAATACATGCAGCTTTCTCGGAGTTGAGCTTTCTTTAATTTTAGTGCATATAAGCTTTAACAAGTCAGAAACAAACTTTCTGAATATATACCAAAGAAAAATAAAACATATGCCAAAAAAAAAATCTTACTATTTTAGAGCTATCAAATGCTAACAGAATTTCTTAACTTTATAAAACATATTTCATTGAATAAACATTTGCTAGTTGCCTACTATGAGGGTCTATCCCATGAGAATAAAAAAGTCAAATCAGTCTTGTTTTCATGAAGCTTAAAACTTGATGACAGAAGGTATCTGAGTTGCTCTTCTGAATATCTCACACTGAGCTGCAAAACACTTATACTACAAGTGAAGGCTGTATTTCTGGTAAGCAAGAGAATCCTACTGCATGTATACATTCACATAAAAACAGACTTTTCTTTTTATTGTGAGCATGGTGAGGATGATTTTAAAAATGCTAAACACTTCTATCATAGTGCTTCAAGAAAATCCACTCCAGAAAAAACACATTTAGCATATTATATACAATCAAAAAAATTAAATGCTTTTTCTAAGCTGTTATAGTTCAACTACTTAAATCCTTTTAGTAATTGTTTCTTCTAAATAATTTCTTAAAGAAAACAATCCTTATAATACCTATGAGATTCATTTTAATCTCTAGGGGGCACCTATATTTACTGATTCAAACAGCCTTTTAAAAAAAGAAAAATATCTTACAGCACCTATGTACATAGGCTGACTCTTTCCCCTTCACAAGCTAAGATTTAACTCTTAAGACGTCAAGATACCAAAGCTTAAGAGGAAAGCCTGACTAAATTTATCTTTTTTTCTCAGTTCTACTCGTTCATGGTATTATTGAAATGTATGTATACTTTACCTTTGCTGCTCACCCCCAGACTGACCATAACTTCCGGAATCTAAAACACATAAAAAGAATTTTTAATCTTATTTAAAATTAGGCTTCCCTCAAAGGCTGACTTTAGCTCTTACAGATGAAATGTGATAAGAAAATATCATAAACTACAGAAAGAAAAACTAGAAGTTAAAAATACAGTGCAAGGAAAAATCTGTGCCAATAGTATTAGCTATTTACAGTAACTACAGCTTTGAAAACAACTACTCTACAAACATGTCCTGATGGTCACAAAAACCAAGTGAACAAATGAGAAACAGTCAGTGAAAAACCCATCCTTTCAACAAAAACTCAAAAGCTCAAGTTATATTATCTTTATATATAAAAAGATATGTTTAAAAAAACTAATCAGGATCAAAAAGGGGAAAATGCACACTCTAAAATAAATCCCCAGGATTACATTTACTTCATATCCTTGCCATTCCCTTGGATTGGATTGGATTGCTTTGGCTGTCAGCAGCAACAAAAAGATCTCCAAAGACTTGGTAAAAGCAGCTAAGCCACTTGATATATACCGACTCAGCAATACTTACCTCTAGCTTCCTTGTTGGCAATAAAAACTACCAAGGAAGGCATGAGTTGAGTAATATACGTCAAAATAATAATAATAATTTGAACTGTGAACTTTTCTCAATACTTTAAAATGTCGGTTATTCCAAAAATTTTTGAAGAGGCTCTACCCTCTAGGCTTCTCCTCAGAGTCAAATGAATGACCTAATTTTATTAGTGACTGAGTAAGAGAAGAGTATCATATGAAATACTCTTTCAACTGCAAAAAAATGACTGATAGTCTTCAACTGCTATTAGGCCCAATCTCGTCTAATCTGAATAAAACTATTTGTTGTTGAACAGTTCTGAAAACCCGCCAAATACCAAATCACATCAATGACTTTTTCATTCAATTCATATAAAGCTACAATATGAAAACACTGTCACTGGCTGTATAAGTGGGTGACATCAAATTTGCCACTTTTCTACAGTAGAGATCGCCAATCAGACTGAACAAGAATTTTTTTAATCCTTAACTACTAAAATATTGAATGAAATCCTGACACAAACTACTTCTTTTATGAATGTGGACATAAGGCTACCTGAGATGAAAAAAAAATTTGTGCATCACTGCCCATAATAATAACATGACTAGATTTGTAACTAACCAAATAAGAAAAATATGAAAAGGATACAGAACCTAACTGGATCATAAAGAGATTAGATGCATCTATCAAATGGCAAAGGAAGTTAGTTTCAACCAATTCAGAAACTAAAAAGGATTACTGTGGGAGGAGGGGGTGTATGAATAAAACAAATATACATACACTGGGGATGCATGAAGCTTTAAGTTAAATTATATCCCAAGGCACTGACGTGGGTTCTCCCAGTGACAGAGTGGAGTCCAAGACCTTATTGTACTTTGGCTCAGGCAAAAATTATAGAAGTACACAGCACATATGTCATATGACCCTGCCTTAAATCTAATAAGTATCAGAGCTCTTAACTCAGTCAACTTCAGCTCTCTGAAACTGTAAATCTGACTTCTTTAGCTGGCTGACTTTAAAACTCTAGAATATAGAAATAAGAGTATTGACCAACAAGTCGAGCTCTTAGTGAAAGTAGATGTTTTACATTCACCAGAGAAAATCAGTTTATAAATGTTATCTATGGCATTTTAAACAACTGCTCATTATGAGTACTTGACACTTGAGCCTTGTATCTGGGCCCATGAATTATTTAGGTGCTTTTATTTCCAAGTGTATAGGGTTTTGACACTCTTTGTGGTTTTGTCTTCTTATTCCACTGCAGCCAGAAAAGGTATTTTCTGTACTATTCCAGGTATTTGTTAGGATTTGCTGTTTTTCGCTTTTCCCCTTGGTAAACACTTTTACTTACATAAATGTCTCCTATGTGCTTGATAAGAACTGTATTATCTAAATGTTGAAAGAATTCTGTAAATCCGTAAGATGATGCTTGTTAGTTCTATTATTCATATTCTTACTCATGTTTGGTCTACCTGATCTATTAATTACACAGAGAAGTATGTTTAAATTTTTTTTAATTCCCTATTTGACTCTGTATTTGTCAATTTCTTTCACTGAGTGTTTTTTTGCTTTCTACACTTTGAGGCCATATTGTTAAAGCACATAAAAGTACAGATTTACAGCTTCCTGGTGAATTTCCCTTTTTTTTCTTTTTTGAATTTCCTTTTAACATTACATGAAGACTATCATTAAAAATGTCCAAACTTTATTTTGACTGGTAATGTAACTAAACAATCTTCCTTTTGGTTGATGTTTGCCTGATTAATATTTTTCTATCTCTATACTTTTAACACTTCTTATTCTGATGTTTTAGGTATGTCATTTTTGAGAGCATACATCTAGATCAATTTTTCCCAATGTGAAAATCTTTGTCTTTCAACTGATGTTTTCATATTTTTATTATTGTTACTTTTTATTTATTCCTACCAGCCTATACTAGACTCTCTACTTACCAGGGTCTTTTTTTTTCAACTCCTTAACTTCCTTCTATTGGATTTTCCTTACTCCCTTTCCCCCTCTACTGCTTTGGAAGTTAGACGTTCAAATTCTGTTCTTTTAATAAGTCACTATTCATAATTTAAAGAGTATGTTCAATTCTTAACATGCATTCTTGATAAAGTTCAAAATGATCTTCGACCTCCACTAGCATACAAGAACTTTAATGCTATAATGCCAATCACAGCCTTCACCTATTATTTTGCTTCCACTTTTTCTTTCCGTTATCTTTTGCTTCCACTTTAAAACTCTAGATTCCACACAGTCAATACTTTTTATCTACTGCATTTGCTTCCTCTGTATCTTTTTGCATCCCACTCCTCCCTTTCGGATTTCTTTTATTAGTTCTTTCAGCAAAGGCCTGAAAGTGGTATTCTTAGTCTTTTATTTGCGTAAAAAAGTCAAGGTCAAACGTTATTTTTCCTCTAAATTCCAAAGATCATTTAGTGGCTTCTTAAAACTTTCAAGAAGTCTACCAATCTTACCTTTTCTCTATTTCCTCTGATAGTTTTGTCACTGGTATTTCATAATCTGCAGTTTCACATTTAGGTATCTAGGTACGAATTGATTATGTCTCATGTTTGAGGCTACTGCTTCTTGATCCATCAATTTTGGAAAACTCTCAACTATCTATTAATTCTTCACCATTTACTCCTTCTCAAACTCATATTAGATATATGACAGGACTTCACAATCTATTTCCTATACTTCTTAAAATTTCAATTTTCATCTTTATCCTTCTGAACTGAATCCTGGGTAATTATATCTATTTTCTACCTCACTAATTATTTCTTCTGCTAGGTCTATCTGCAATTCAACTTGGCCACTTTTTCCATTTCTAGAAGTTACACTTGACACTTGATTCTTTTTCAAATCTACGTAACCATTTTCCACGTCTTGGTCTTAGGGTTGATTACTTCTTTTAGGTTTCTAATAATTTTAAACACATTAATACTCGCTTTCAGACTATTAGGGATTCAAATGCCATTTGTCACTCTCATTTTGGCGAATTGTCTTCCAGAATTCTGCAATGTTTTACTGTGAACTTATGTTCTGCAAGGCTTGTTTTTTCTGTAAGATTCCTCGTGACCTAGGCTCTGAAATTTCCTCAGAAAAGGTTTTTCGTTTGTTTTTACTAGAAACCCCAAGGTTACTGTCAGTCTAGAACCAATTTTTATGTTAAATTTCTTGGCCTGAGGTTTCCTGGACCTCATAACTAATTTAAATGTACACCGAAACTGTATGAAGCACAGGTCCCAAGTTACAAATTCTCAGGAAAAAACTTTTTTCCCTCACTCAAGGCCCAGGCTTCCTTGTTATCTCCTATCCTGTACAAAGGTTTTTTCTAGTTCATTCTTTCACTTAAGATACAGTCCTTCAAACATCCAGGTTTTATGTAAGGGTTCCCATTACATGGCTCTAATGGTCTCAAGGCTGCATCTCCTGTCCTTAGTTATTTGGGCAATAAACTCCAAGTCTCTGAATGAGACCTACACCCTTCTCTATGCCTACCATGCTGGCTTCTACTTCATTTCTGGCAGCAGGGGCTCGCCCTTTGTTTTATGTAAGTTCTTGCATTTTTAGCTATTCGTAGACAGAGGATTTACAAGTTATCTTAGTCTGCCATAGTGCCAAAAGAAGTTTCTTGACTTCGTAATTTTTATATGTATAACTGATATTAGATTTGATTTTAACTTCAAAGGTGTCAGATAATTCACATTTGTCTGAGAGTCTGACTCACAATATTTACAACTCTGATTTATTTATTATGTAAGCATTTATTTTATTACGCTTATAAGTCTGTCCTGTCAGGCACCTGTAGTGGCTGAGTCAATTTGATAAGTTAAATTTACAATATAGTTTGGAATGTTTAAAGGACTTAACTAAACTTAATGCCATTAGTTGTTTAGGGGGGAGTCAAAAGCATTATTCCTATTTTTATACAAAGTCGAAAGTAGTATTTTTATACACAAATTACAAAATGTACAGAGTATATAACAACACTAAGTAGAACTTAAAAGATTCTAACTCTAATTGACTTAATGTAGAAACAAGCAATTATTAGTTCTTTTTGACATGAAAGTCAATTTTGATGTTAAAAAAACTCAAATTACAAAATGACAAGTAAGTGCTGTCTTGGTAATTCTAAAGACCAGTGATAATGGATTACCCAGCTCACACACTATTATGACACACTGAAAATCCTGGATTTTACAAACGGTACAGCTCTAAAACTTAATTTTCCATAAAAGCTACCCAGTCCTACAAAAATAAGCCATTGCTTTAAGCCAATAATTATGTCAAAAATCGAGACAAGTCAATGGTTTTTAATGAGCACTGTATACACTGAAATGGTAAATTTCTGCATGAAGGTGGGAGAATCTTAAAAAATTTTTTTTTTACATCACGGATGGGTTACACACCCTCCTGAGTGTACCTCTATGTACTTCTGTGGAGCTTTACCAGACTTCATTCCAAATTATGCAGCTGGTAAAATATGTACCAATGTCACCTTTGGGGTAAGAAATTATTTCTTGCTTGAGCAAGAATTAAAGAGACAAATTCTGTGCAATTAACAGCCTCTTACATCGGGTAGATGCCCCTTCCCCTTAAAGATCAACCTTCTGGCTTAACATCAATGTTAATCTAAAGAATGTTTATCATTTCCCTGTCCAACCATTCTTGCTAATTTGGTCTCCTCTCAGCCTGCTGCTTCCTTTTTGTCACATATTTCCACTCTTCTGCAAAACTGGATTACCGGGGGGGGGGGGTTGTGTTTTTGTTTTTTTTAATATCAACAAGTTCTCCCTTAAAAAAATGTAAAATACTCTGCCAGCAGTCATTTTCATCCCAACCATATGGCTTTCAGGGACGTGTTCTGCTTTTCCACCTGAAAAGTAACATGTAATTCTCATGATGGTTCCTAGCAAGTGGGGAGCCGGGTCTTTCTTTGCAGCCTGCGATGTGCCCAACAACAGAGGGCCTTGTGTGGCAGCTTGGGCTGCTAAGTCAAGAGCAGACCCACGTCCCGGACTTTATATTCTACTTTCGCAAGACCTAAACGGGCTGTCCTGATAAGACCAAGGCCTCTTTTTCTCTTTCACACAACGGGGGTGCCTCTGTCAATTTAAAGTGCTTGATGGAAGACTGCCTTTCCTTTGGTCTGTATGTTTCAACGTAAATGCCACAGGGACCTACAAGAGCCCATCAATAATAAACAGGGCTCACTTTCAAGCTCGTGCAGGAGATAAACAACTGAAGAGGTGAAGATGACAAAGAAGGGTGAAGAGGAATTTTACGCAAGCACCCCCATCTCGAATCCGGGAGGCTGGTGCGGAGGGAATGACGACATGTATGTAGGATTTCGTGTCAGGCAACGTCGTTTAAAAGGGCTCCCAGAGCGTCAAGGCCCCCACCTGATGAATGGGTGAGTCAGGAAGGCCCAGCTCCACGTCACGGATGGGGAAACTGAGGGACGAGGCGGCGAGATGACTGGCCGGAGGCCTCGCTGAAAGATCTGAGGCGGAGCGGAGAACCAGAAGCACCGATTCTCTCCGGCCGATGCTCTAATCACGGGCTCCCCCCGCCCCTGCGATGGCGTAGCGGCCTCCGCCCCCCGATTCACACACCCTCCCCCGGGAGCAACACGTCGCCTCGGGTTCCAAGGACAGGGCCAAGAGACCGGGGGCTCGAGGCGCTCCCGCCGGGATTTGCAGACGGAGAGCGTTGGGAGCGTGCGTCCCTCCAGTCCAACATGGCGGCGGCAGCGTCCGCCCCCCCCCCC